CCCGCTAAGCCCTGCCCCGCAACCCCCCACACACCATGCCGCGCAGCGGGTGGGGGGCACGGTGACAAGGACCTCGCCCCGGGAGGGAGGCACGGAGCCTGTTCAGTGACTAGTAGCCTCAGCTTTTCCCAGAAACCTGGCTCGGAGGACCAGAAACACTCTGCGGCCTCCAACCCCCACTGGCCCACAGGAGTCCAGCCGGTCTCCCAGAACCACCCCACCGTGTGGGTGGGGACAGCAATTGTGCCTTCTCTCCATATCCCCTGGCCCTTCCCGAAAAGCAAGAAATAAGAACCAGCATCCAGTGGGGCTGGCAAAAGCTGCAGAGGGGCTCCTGCCCCTTCTGGGACCTGAGCATCTGACCCTGATACCCCACTGGGCTTTTAGCTCCCCCGAGCCCTGTTCCCACCGGCCAGCTCATGCGAAAAGGAGGGAAGGAGAATTAGAGTGATCTAAATTCTGTAACATGCTTTTGGGTTTCCTCCTAATTCTGGTCCCCACCTGTTTGGGACTGTGGCTCCCTCCCTGCCCCCAGCCCCAGGACCCAGCTCCTTCGACCTTGTCCTCCCCCAAGAGCGGAAGTCCCCAGGGCAGAGAGGACTAAAGCCACGAAAGGAACGAGGTCAGGAGTCCAGACCCAGGACTGTCTTTTTCCTCGCTCCCATCCCCACCAGTCTCCCTTCCTGCCCCCCCACAACTGGTAGGAGCATTAAGATGTTGGCCCTCTGGTGGAGAGAGGGAGGGGCCGGTTAACAGGATCAGGAGCGCCGTGACCCTAAAGCCTCCCAATCCCATTGACAAACTTGGTGAGCCGCATCCCGCGGCCGGCAGGGAAGGAGGGGACCCGGAGGGGCTCTGGTAGCAAGGCAGGGCTGCTGCCTCAGCTCACCGCCCTGGGCGCCCCGGAAGCAGGAGCGGGGACCCCCCTCTGCCAACGACTCCTCCACACACACGCCCCACCCCTGTGGGTCGCCCCCTCCGTCTTTCATCTGCCGTTCCTTTCTGCGATTTTTGTGCCTGCCTCTCCTCCATTAGCTGGTGGGCAAAGTAGGATGCCCTGGACTGATTCTAGGGGATCCCATCCCACCCCAGCCCAGCGGTCTGAGGGAGCAAGAGTCCTCCGGAATGGCCACTCACCCGGCTTCTGTGAGGAGGAGAGCAGGCTCGGTGGCCCCAGCCGCTGGACTGCCTCGCTCCGGCTCCTGCCTCCTCTGGCTGGGGGGGGGGACGCAGCCCCGGTGATGGTGACGTAGCATCTGTCTGTCCATTCAGGAATTCTCCTCGCCCCCCTCCCTCCCTCTCTCTCTCTCTCTCTGGCTGCTCTCCCTGGAAGGCTGCAAAGAGGGGGTGCTGCCCCTGTCTGGAGACACCACGACCACCAAAATGACAGCGTGGAGAAAGTCCCCTCCCTTCCCTCTCCGAGGCCTGTGTGGGAAGGGGTCTTTGTCATCTCCGCTGTTCCCCACCTCCTCCTACTGCCTTCTCCAACCTGAGGCAGGAAGAAGGGGCTCAAGAAAGCCATTGTTCCTCCAGGCCACCCAAATCCCCCAAGTAAGCCCGAGAAAGGGAGAAAGAGTGTGACAGACACGCACAGTCCCCAGGCTCCTGCCCGGTCCAGCTGACCTTTGAACTTGAGAGCATGGCTAGATGACCCGTCCAGAGTGGGGAGCGGAGTGGAGAAGGAGTGACAGGCGAGGACACTTTGCCGTTTCAGGGTGTCCCCGGGCCCCCATCCCAAGCCTCCCCCAGCCCCAGGCCCTGTCAGCTCTGGAGAAATCACACATCCATATCCAAGTTGTGAAGGAGAGAGTGACACTTGGGAGACACTGTGTGCCCACCGTGGGGACGGAAGGGCAGCGCTGGGAAGTCCAGACAGGAGACAGGAGGGGTGGGACCATGGATTCAAAGTGGGAGATAAATTATCTTGTTCTCAGAGGAGGGAGAGCTATTTGGGGGCTGGTTTCCAGGGCTGGGATCCTGATATTTGCTCGTCGCTGGGGCCCGGGATGGCACAATGGCCGGTCCCCTCCATCACCCCCACCCCACCCCTCCCTCCCCTCCCTCCCACTCTTCCTGGCCAGCCTGGGAACTCTGTCTGAGCTCGACGTGACAGACAGCGGGCCTGCATGCTAATGAAGTTTGTCTCAAGTTCATTGTCAAAGCCCCCCCTTCCCCAAGGCCCCCTCCCCTCCTCTCTCATACACAAATCTCCCTCCAACTTTTGTCCCACAGACCTGGAGGCCACTTGAGTCCCTGCCGGCTCCCTCTCTCCCCCTCCCCCATGGCTTTCAGTGTCCCTCTTCCCATTACCTCCCCTCCCTCGGCTGGGGCGGGGGGCTCTCTCCTCTCCCTGGTGCCTTCGCAGCCACCTTCCGGGCGGCGTCCCTCAGCTTTGAAAGGGGGACTCTGAGGGCTTAGGTCAGGGTCTGCAGGCCTGGCTCTTCCTTCCGCACCCGGAGTAGGGAGACTGGGGGGAGGTGGGGGATGGCCAGACTGCGCCCCACTCCGGCCTCAGTCCCCTCCCCTCATTGCTCCCATTATGATCATTTTGCTCTCCCCTTGATTAATCTGCTTCACTAGCTCAGAAATAAAGATCCTTTGAGACTAATTTTGTGCCCCCACCACCCCCCCAGGCCTGGGCTCCCTTTAGCTCCTTTCTCACCGGCTGGAAGACATTGAGCTCCTTGTCTGGGGGCTGGGGGCTGCCGGTGGGATGGAGGGGGTCTCTCCAGCTCTGGGACGTGTCCAGCAATCCAAACCTGTCCTCCCTTTGTTCCTGCAAATCTCTTCACACTGTCCCCACTCTCCCGAGTCTGCCTTTCTCCCAGTAACCAGGGCCTGGGGAGGAAGGGGAGGAGGACCCTGAACTCACCCCACCCCTCAACTCCAGGGAAAGGGGGGAGAAAAGGGAGCAAAAAAAAAAAAAAAACCTAATCCCCCCCTCATTAGCCAGAAAGGAAGCGAAAGGGGATAATTATAATTAAAAGCAGACAGCTGTGGATCCAGGCCTCCTCCCCCCTCTGCCACCAATCCCCCAAACATCTGCATGGGGCGGGCTTGAGCTCCGGGAGCCTCTCCCCCTGACGTCCTGAGAGTGGGGAGCAGGTGAGGAGGGGGCCGAGGTGCAGGGGTGGCTTTGGGGAAAGGGACCCCTTACCCTCCGCTGGCAAACATCTCAGCAGCCCCGCACAGGCGGGTGGGCTCTTCCTGCGGCTTACCTGCACCCCAAGTACAGGCCTATAGGAGGCAAGGGCCTTCAGACAGTACAAATTCAAGGATTTGGGGGAAATCTCTGCTCCTCCGAAAACCAGTAGTCATTTATTCATGATCATATCAATACAAAAAAAATCACCTATAACCCGGAATATTTTCTCCTTCAGGCCCGTCTTTCGTCTTTCCTCCTCCCCCGGAGCTGTCTCCGAACACAGGAGGGGTAGCGAAGAGCAGCGAGCTGGGGCCTCGGAGGGCCCTGTGGTAACAAAGAGAGGTTCGTGGATTTAGGGGACACGTAAATGCACACAGACACACACTTATAATTTGGCGTGGTGCTGCTAGGCCTCACTCTGCTGTCCGTGTATTTATAGAACTTGATCATAGACCAGAACAGCAGGGTAATTATAGCATTATTAGCATATATGCAAATCAAGTAACCTATATACGCTGAATGGAAGCAAATTATTATTTATTTCTCTCCCTCTCTCCTTCGTTGGGATCCACTCGGGCTTCTCAGAGCGGCACACCAGCAATTATCTGACACCGGCAGAGGGGCCCACAGCCCTGGAGGAGGGGCCCAGGGTGTGGGACACTTTCCTCCGTGTTATTCTGGGAAGAGCAAGGAGGGGCTCCGGGAGAAGTCAGTGAATTCCCAAGGGGGGGGTTGGGGTGAGCTTGGAGAGACGGAGACCCGAGGACAACGAGTGACAGAGACAGGGAGACAGACCCCCCCCAGTTCCCAGGAGTTGAGGACCAGAGCAGGTGGGGGCAAAGCCCCCCCCCAGAGGGGCGCAAGGAATCCAGACTGGGAGAGAACACGGGGGCCTGCTTCTCTGGAAGGAGGGGGCCGCACGAGCTCTGTGGGGTGCATTCCACTGTCCCTGCCCCCGCACCCCGTTCCCAAGCCCCCCCCAGCCCTGACTGAGCCACCTAGTAAATAGGTCCCTGTGTCGTTCTACCCGCCCGACGGTAGGGCACAGCGGGCGGACAGAGGTAGACTCCAGCCCCTCCTCCTCCCCCAGGGTGTCTGGTTGCTGTCCTCACTGTTGGGCTCTCCACCTAGATATCCCCAGGTTCCTCCCCTGCCCGGCCGGGTGGGACTCCAAGGGCCCTTGGCCATGGGTTTCAGAGCCTCACCGACGTCCTTCCCTCTACTCCACTCGGAAGAGGAGAGGCCTCCACCCCCCGAGGGGCCCCACAGGCCTTGCTGTGCCCCCAGACTTGTCCGCCTGCTCGCCCAAGAAAGCAAGCCGCGGCCCACCTGAGGCAAACTTTAAAGAAGGCAATATTGGGGGGCAGGGCGGGGGGGGTACCGAAACTGAGCCTGAGGGCCAAGACTGCTCTTGAGGGATGTAATGTAGAAGGGGAAGGCTCCTCAAGAGAAACAGACAGAAAAAGACCCCCAGAGAGACAGTAGCCAAAGGACCGAAAGAAAAAAAAACTTTCTTTTTCTTTCTTCTTCTTCTTCTTCTTTTTTTTTTTAGATTTTATTTATTTATTTGTAAGAACAAGAGTGAGCACAAGCAGGGGGGGTAGCAGGCAGAGGCAGAGAGAGAAGCAGTTTCCCTGCTGAGCAGGGAGCCCCCGCGGGACTTGATCCTGGGACCCCGGACTCTTGACCCAAGCCAAAGGCAGATGCTTAACTGCCTGAGCCACCCAGGCGCCCCAGAAAACAAACTTTCAAGGCCGTACTTGAGGTTTGCACAAACGTGAAAAGGCTCTATCACAGAAATACAGAGACCAGCAAGATGGCCGGACTTCATCACCCATGAGCTTAACCTCCGCAGAACGCATTCGTCCTTCTACCTGCTCCTGGGTCGGCTGCGTGTCTTTGTGGCCCAGCAATACAGAGGTAGAGACCAGACCTACAAGAAAGGCACCAGGAACCCAGTCAAGGACAGGGCAGACCTCAAAAGTGACAGCCAGCCTGCCCAGTGGGGGCGGGGTGGGGGCAAGCCTGCCCTTCTCCATCCCACCCTAGAGACCTGGCATGTGGCCCTTCCTCCTGCCTGTTACTGGTGCAGGCTCAGTCCAGAAATGGGCAAACACATCTGCAGCTTGGTCAGGCGCAGCCCCTGCATGCCTCTGAGACGTCAGGACCATGGGTCCCCCCCCCCGCCCCCTCCCGGGGCTTCCCCAGGGCGACCCTGGCGTCTCTCTTTTCCAGCTCCCCTACTTCTGCGGCTTTCATGTGCAGCGGCTCAGGTCCAAACCGAGGGGTCCTGTGTGTGCACACACGCATCTGTCCTAGCCCATCTTCTCTCCTACAGAATCCCTGTCGCTGGCCACCGGGTGGACATCCGTAACCACGCACTGCCTGCCTCGTGCCCGTGTGGGTGTCAGGAGCTTTGTGCGGAGCACGTCCGGGTGTGACCTGATCGGGTTTGTGCTTTCACCCGGCTCCCCAGCTCAGTCTGCACCGACTCACTCCTACCTGTGGCCAGACTCCACTGTCCACCCCATCTGCCCTGGAAAGAAAGAACCGCAAACCAGGCCACAGAGGTTCGGGCGGCACGTCAGCTTGGTCGCGACGCCGGGGAGCTGGAGAGTCTCTGCTTTCCATCCCCCTAGGTGTGTGCTGGTACCTATATTTGTATACATGTGTTACTTTGATTCCTAGAACCACATGCATCTTTTCTGCTCTTTTTCACACAAATAATGGTCTCTAAGTGGGCAGCTGGCCGACACCAGCACCGTGTGTGCTACAAGCGTCTGGGAAGCCTTGCTGGCACTCGGATTGCGGCCTGATACTCTAACGCGGTGCCATTTTCTCTGAGCAGCGCTGGCTTCCGCCTGCTTTGCAGAAGGGGTCCTCTAGGACTGATGCTCTTTTCTGGGGCTCAAGCTCCCAGACTTGGGCTGGATCCCTCCCCTACACCAGCAGCCAGGACTCCCCACTTTGGGAGTCCCTCCAGCCTCAGCGAGGCGGAGGTACTGAACCAGTGGCTGTGCGTCTGGCCACGGCGATGCCTGCCGGGGGAGACCAGGCAGGTCCACTTGCCACTGCCATGCTGCGGAGGGTCACACTGGGATGGTGTGAGTTATCTCCGAAGCCCGCCCCCCCAGCTGTCATGTGTGCAAGTAGGTTTTTGTGTCTGAGTCACGTCTATTTACAATGATGTGTGCGCTCGCTGGTGCGCGTGTACCGATCACTCCCGTGTCCATTATGTCCCAGCTCTGCAAGTGTGGTGTGTTTTCATGGTCTGGGACTGCTGGGGCTGCGGGTGTGACATTGGTTGATCTCGGTGTTTGCCGGTGCGTGTCTAGGGGCCGGCGCCGTCCGGGTGTGAACCGTGGGCCTGTCCATGCACCCCCCCACCCCCGCCACGCCTGCTGCCCAGGGTCAGGCCCGGCCAGGCCAGAGGGGAACACGCCCTGCGCCCCTGGTCCGGTCGCGCTCTCCGGGCGCTGGCAGCTCGGTTCCCGCTTCCCAGCGAGTCTGGCCGGGGGCTGTGCACGGGCACGGGGGCAGGTGGGGCGCGGCTCCTTCTGGGGCACACGGCCACCGGGGGCACCCCCGAGGACGAGACCGCCGAAGTGACCTAGTGAGCGTTGAAAGAAAAAGGGAATCGGAAACAGAGAACAGGAATCACTAAAACAGAAGGGATGAAATAATGTTCCATAAAATTAAAGGGAAACATAACAAAGATCTTAACGTTAAATTAAATGGTGGGAAAGACAAGTTAACAAAATGGAAAAGAAAAGGCTTCAAGGCGCCCGAGGGGAGAGGCCGAGACGGGGCGATGTGGCGTTGGAGTTGGGGGGCACGGGACGGGGGGGGGCTGCAGGAAGTGGGGGGCGGTAAACAGGGGGGCTGCAGGGTCGGGGGCTCCGGGAATCTGGGGCCGCGGGAATTTGGGGGCTGCAGGAAGCGGGGGCCGAGGGAAGCCGGGCGGGTGGGGGGGGCACGGATCCGGGTCGCGGGATCCGGGAGACCGCAGGGAGGAGGGCAGCTCGGGAAGCCGGGGCGGCGGACAGCGGAGGTAGAAGGGATTCAGGGCCGGGGGTGGGCTCGGATTGGGGTGACGGGGGACGGCCGCGGGAAGCGGGGACGGGGCACGGGACGGGGCCGCGGGACGTGGGGGGGGATGCAGGACGCGGGTCTGCGGGATTCGGGGCACTGCGGGAAGGAGGAGGCACGGGATCCGAGGGGCTGCGGGAACCGGGGGGCGCGGGGTCTCCTCCGCCGGCGGCCCGCTCCCCGACCCGGGTCAGGCGAAAAGCCCGGCTCGAGGCTGTGCCCGTGCCCGCTCCCCTCCCCCATCTCCGCTGCCGAACCCGGCCCCGGGGAATAAAGCCAAGAAGAGCCTCCCCCATGCACTCCCATCCCCCAGGCTAGGTCCTCCCTCGGGTCCGAGGTTTTGGCCGCCAGGCCCTTGTAGACGCTGTCTCCGGATTCGCGGCGCCAAGCGGAGGCTCTCGAAGCCGGGACCCGTGGGGAGCGCGGGGGCCAGCGGCCGTGGCCACGCCACTCCCCGTGCGGCCCCGCGGGCTGTGAGCGCGAGGCGGGAAGGCCCGGCCTTGGTGCGGGGTCGTGGAGCTGAGAAACCAGTCCCCGGAGAAGCCGGGGCAGCCGGGGAGCCTGGCAAGCCCGGGACGAGGAAGACCAGACGGACAGAGCGGGGGGGGGGTGGGGGGGGGGAAGGGGGGCCCAGAATCAGGGGCCGGGGAAGGAAACGAGGCCGAGAGAGGGAGATTCGGGGAAATAGGACGGAGGAGAGAACCAGGCGACCAGGGCGGCAGAGGAGCGCCCGCCCCTCCCCGAGTCTGGCCAGAGGCCTGGAGACCCTCCCCCTCCCTCTAGCGGCGCTGGGGCCCCTTCCCTTTTCCTCTGAAGCTGCCCACTTCTGCCCCTAGACCCAGGTTTCCAGGGACCCAGTGATCCATCCTCCAAAGAATTAGGACCGCATGGGTCACATGGACCCCGTCTGTGGTTCTCCGGAGCAGGGAAGGGGATGGAGAGCTGACGCCTCGGTGCCTCCCGGAAGTTCTAACATTCCGGCCTGGAGCAGGGACCTAAGCGGGCGGCCTGCCTGGGACTCCAGGAGGTGCAGGGCGTTCTTGGCAACTGAGAGGCTGGCTCAGTCCAGAGCTTAATATCTGAACTCAGCCCCAGCTGACCTCAGTGTCAGGTGGCCATTCCACTCTCAGAACATCTGAGTAAATGCCTCCCAGCCCTCTCCTCTGCCCCAGACCTCTGTGGGTTTGGGAGGGGTGGGAGGGGTGGGGAAGGGTGGCCAGTGACCAGCCCAGCCGCCTTGGCCACACCACTGTGTCCAGCCCTTTCCTTGATGAAGGAAGGGTTCTCCCAGTGCAGAGGTGACCTGAGCCAGGAGGGAAGGAGAGACCATCCCAGACCAGCTGGGTCAGTCCCAGCCCAGAATATTTTCGACTTCATCAGTAAACGTATTGTGTCTTAATTTGGGGCAGAGAATGAGCTAACCTGAGAGAAAACCCTTACCCGTGGGGGTGGGAGGTGAGGAGTGGGGTGCTTCCACGGGAGAAACCCCCTCGGAGAACAGGGAGGAGGAGGGCTTCCCCAGAGAGTTCTGCCTCGAGGTGAACATCCAGGCCGGGCACTCTGGGTCCCTAGGAAGGCCAAGGGGCTCTGAGGAAGGGTGCCCGGTATTGGGAGGAGCACAGTCTGCAACGGCAGCCCCACTGTGTAACTGGCTGTGTGACCCTAAGCCAGTTCCCTTACCTCTCTGAGTCTCTCTTCCCAACAGGTAAAATGAGGAGAGGAAGCCTACTTCCCTGGGCTGTGAACTCAGAGAATTAATGTGCCCAGTGTGCCGGCTTGGCCTTCACACTCAAGAAATCGTAGTTTTCTTACAGTTCGGGATTGTCCCCTCAACTCTGTGATTTTTGTCCTGGGGGGAGAGGACTGGCGGGGGAGAGGACGGTAGAGAGGAGGATGGGGTAGAGAGGGAGCTTGCTGTCTTTCCCCTCTGCCTTCCTGTTCTAACCAGTCTACAAATCCCTGTGTCAGCTCAAGCGATCTCAACACACACACACACACACACACACACACACACACACACACACACACCCGAAAGCAAAAAAAAAAAAAACATACATTAGGGGCACCAGTCTGGCTCAGTTGGTAGAGCAGGAGACTTGATCTCACGGTCACGTGTTCAAGCCCCTAGATGGGCGAAGAGATAACTCTATAAACAAAGTTTTTAAAAATACACACATTAGGGGTGCCTGGGTGGCTCAGTGGGTTAAGCCTCTGCCTTCGGCTCAGGTCATGATCTCAGAGTCCCGGGAATGAGGCCCCGCATCGGCTCTCTGCTCAGCGGGGAGCCTGCTTCTCCCTCTCTCTCTGCCGCCTCTCTGCCTACTTGTGAACTCTGTCAAATAAATAAATAAAATCTTAAAAAAATATACACATCATAAGGTATCCATCTGTTAAAAAATGCTAAAATAAAATAAGATATATCTTTATACATTGAAATAGCCCCAAATAAAATATTGTACAAGCCAGATTCCTCCTGGAAACCGCACCCCCCGTGAAGCTGACACACTCAGAGGGGTTGGCATTTCTGTTTGGAGTTGAGTGACTTCTGCGTGCCACCGCCGGCCCCCCTCATGCATGTGCTTCCTTTCAAAAAAGTGTGGCTTCTGTGTATGGACAAATGCATACTTTGATTATGTGTGGGTTTTGGATTTCCCTAAATTAAATCTGTGAATCAGATACAATTGCAATCAGACACCTGTTCAGCAACTACGGAAAGTTCTGGACGTGATTCAGGTGCTGACATGAACAAACAAAGGTGTGCCGTAAACACGTCACGTCACGTCACGCATTTAGCGACGTGAGCCGACCCCCGCTGCGCTGAGCTTGGCTTCCCTTCGGGCTCTGTGGGCGCGGACCTGGGGCCTGCAGCAAGTCGCCAAGCCTGTCTGTACCGTGCCCAGCTTCCCGATGCCCTCCTCACCCGGTTATTTGGAGACGAGAGGACGTTCCGAGCATCTAAGTTTCTTTAGAAGCTGCTGCGTCCCATGGAGATGAAGATCTTAACACACAGGACAGAGAGCTTCTGGACCCAACCAGCTACACCACCCCTCACACAGACCGGGGCTCCCATATGCCCCCTCCTCCAGCCCAGATTCCCCAGATGGAGGGGCTCCTAGGCCTGGAGGCGCTTGGGCTCTGGGGCATGGAGGTGAGCGGAGAGGGTGGAGAGTTGGGCGGGTGGTTCATTATCGCCCTGTCTCCCCTTTCACATCCCCCCCGCAGTGGCTGATCCCTGTGGCGGCTGCCCATCCCCCTCTCCCTGGCCCAGGCTCGGACCGGCTGCCCAGTGAGTGGAGCGGAGGGGTCCCCCGCAACCCCCGGGGGGCTGTGGGGCTGGGAGTGGGCAACAGACTGGAAATCCAGTGGGAGGGACACAGTTGGGATTCTAAGAAAAACGTCCTGCCTTCCAAGGCGGTTGAGTTGATCTCCTTCTCTTCACAAGCAAGAGTCCCGGTGAGCACCCTGGGACTGGGAAGGGGGGTGATCGCCAGGACCCTGCAGCAGCCTCCTGAGGAGGGAGGGGGAGGCCGATGAGGAGTTCTGAGACGGCGCAGGGAGAGTTCTGATTTCTGTGCTCTCTCCAGAGGAGAGGGGCCGGCCCGCGGGGCAGCTAACGAACTCCTTCCCAAATTCTCCCTCGGGCCTGGGCTGCTCCCAGAGGGGGGTCCGTTCTAACAAGGTGCCCCTGGGCCCTTCCCCTCCCTCCCCAGGATCCGAAGCCGCCAAAGGTTCGTGGAATATAATGGATCATTTTCCAATTTACCAGGGTCTTAGGGATTACGCCGCTAATCCCATCAAAGACCATCTGCTTACACTGTCCCTCCTGAGCCAAAATAAATAGATCCTTTACTCCCCGCACTTCAACTCCTCTAGGGTATTGTCGAGGGAGAAAGTTCGACAAGGCCCAGCCCATTTCCCCCTCCCTCCCGCTGCGGGATGGACAGAAAAGGAGAAAACAAACTTAGCTTGTCTGCGGGGTGAAAGGTCACTTATGCCGCGGAGCCGCATTCTTCTCAGGAGCCTGCGACGCTGGGAATCCAGGCGAGGGGCGGGCGAGGGCGGCCAGCCGGGGCCTCCGGGGATCAGCCCCCCGCCGGGAGGGGGACCGGGAACGAGCTGCTCGGCGGCTCTCTCCCGGCCCTGAACCTCAGCCCCAGCCCGTTTGCGGCGGCTCTGAGTCCCCCCCACCTGGGACGGTCGGGGAACGGTTCCTGATCTGGGCTTCAGCTCTCCCTGAAGAACTGTGGGGGCAGGACACGAAAATGCTGGGTTCCCTCGGAGAGTCATTTATTTTAGAGGCTTTTCCCTTCCTTCTCTCGTCGGTCATTACTCTGTCACCGAAGGGGCCTTCGCAGACGGGGCAGAGAGGCTGCGGGGAAGCCCGGCTGGCACCGGGAGGGGTGTGCGCGTGCAGACCCAGCCCTGGGCATCAGACGGCCCAGAGTCCCGGCCGAGGACAGTAAATGGGCCGGGACACCGGGTGGGGGTCGAAGGGTGGGGCCTCCGGAAAGCCCGCGGCTTCTGAGCAGAGACTTAAAGGCGGGAGGGTTCTTGGGAGGGGTGGGGAGAGTCCCGCCTGCAAGGAACAGCAGTGTCTTCCCGCGGGTTCCCCTGCCTCCGTGCATTCCACACACCCAGTCCCTCAACCGCCCTTTCCGCTGCTTTGTGACCCGGTCAAGAACCTCAAGGAGTTATCGCTTTAAAAAAAAGTCTTCTCTCGTGTATGGGGAACCCAGTGGCTCAGTCAGTAGAGAGCACGACTCCTGATCTTGGGGTCTTGAGTTCAAGTCCCATGTTGGGCGTAGAGCTTACTTTGAAAAAGGAGGGGGGACGCCTGGGTGGCTCAGTGGGTTAAGCCTCTGCCTTCAGCTCAGGTCATGATCTCAGGGTCCTGGGATTGAGCCCCGCATTGGGCCTGCTTGGCCGGGAGCCTGCTTCCCCCTCTCTCTCTGCCTGCCTCTCTGCCTACTTGTGATCTCTCTCTCTCTATCAAATTAATGGATAAAATCTTTAAAAAAAATTAAAAAATTTAAAAGGGGGTGGGGTTAAAAGAACCCAGAGCAGCCGCCAGCAGCCTGCCCTAAACTCTGCAGGGGTCCCCGGCTTTGCCCAAGAGCTGCCTGTTTGGGGCCCCTAGACACACTTGGTCCCCAGAAGGGCACGTCTTGGCTCTTGAAAAGCAGCAGAGTAGCAGAAATGACACCATCAGTGTCAGTCCGAGCCTCCATTCCCTCATCTGTGAGACAGAGGCGATGCCCCCCTCACAGGACCACCGCAGGCATCCGGGGACCCGCACACGGCTCCTGGCAGGTGCTCAGCACAAACGCAGAGCATGGACTCAGCCCCAGGACCACGGAAACCGTTTGGTCATGAAACCCTGCAGGGGTGTATACAGTATTTACACGGGGAGGGACAAAATATGAATTTCCTAGGTATAAGATGTGCTCACTTGACAAGTGTTTGCTGGATACCTATACAGCAAAGCACTAAGGGACCCGAAGGGCAATGAGGACTATGCCCTGATTGGAGAGTTCAGAGAAGGATGCTAGCTGCTGGCCTGTGTAGCTGGACGGGGGATGTGTGCTCGGAAAATCAGACAGAAAGTCCACGGAAAGAGAAAGAGACAACAGTCAAGTGAGGTGATGTGCAATCAGGACAGGCTTCCCGAAGGAGGTGGCATGAGGCGTAGTCCTCGAAGGATGCACAGGCCCCCAGCGTACAGAACACAGGGGAAAGCGAAGGACAGGAGTGAGCACTTCCGACCAGAACGTGGACCAGTGAGACCTGAGTGTTTGCGTAAACACAAACTCATTATGAACCAGTGACATCATCTATCCCAGAGCAGCTAAAACTAATGCCATCCTTGGCTCTAGTAGGGGAGAGCCACATCCAGGTCAAGAAAGATGAGGAATGTCACCCTACTTTGGACTGAGCTCATCTTTTTTTTTTTTTAATGATTTTATTTATTTATTTGACAGAGAGATCACAAGCAGGCAGACAGGCAAGTGTGGGGGGGGCAGGCTCCCCGCTGAGCAGAGAGCCCAATGAGGGACTCAATCCCAGGACCCTGAAATCAAAGGGGCCAAAGGCAGAGGCTTAACCCACTGAGCCACCCAGGCGCCCCTGGACTGAGCTCATCTTAAAGGAGCTACTGGTAGGCAACAGTGTGGAGAAGAGGATCGGCCACAAACAGCCCTGGGGCCTCTGCCTGGGTGAGGGGGTGGCCCTCCCTCCTTGGTAAAGTGCAGGGAAGAATTCCTGCATGGCATGGAGGCTTAACTGAGCCGGTGTGGGAGATACCCTAAAACCATTCTTGAAAAAGAGGAACTATTCGCAAAGCTTCGGGAGACAGGCGGTGGCCTGCTGCTGTTAGTGGGGTGTGATGCCGGTCAGTTAATGGGGCGATGGGGAGAATCAGGGAAGGGAGACAAGATGATAAGGAGACAAGGAGATAAGGAGATAAGGAGACAAGGAGATAAGGAAGCACATTAGGTTTGGCCGGAGGAAGAAGGCTCAAAGGGCTGGGGAGAACCTTCGGCCAAGAATGGCCACCCAGGGAAGATGTAGAAGGAATTTCTGATTTGGGGAAGTGATTGAATTAACTGGTCTCTAACATTCTTTCCAATGCCAAGATACCAACACAACACAGCTCGCAGGTGTCAGCTGAGATAGAAAACCACAAGCTTCCATGAGAGCTCCAGGAAGGCAGGGACTGTGTCCATGGCCATCATTTCTCTACTGAGTGTCCGGAAGAGTGACAGGCCTGTAACAGGTGTTTGGTGAATATTTGTGGAATGAATGAATGAATGAGTGGATGGATGAATTAGACAATGCAGGTGAAAGTTCTTATGAACTGCAAAATGCTGCAGATAGTTAGAAAACAGCGACGATCATCACTGACATTGAGTTGTGTTCACGCTTTCTATGCGTAAACACATACGCACATGCGTGACGGCTGCACGGTCAAAGGCGAAGCATGTCAAGAAGTGAGGTCTGGAGGAACCAGGGAGGACCGGAGCGTCCCAGCCCACAGACAGAGAAGACAGGATGAGGGGGTGGTCTTGGCCCCACTGTGCTCAAGGAAATGGGGAGGGCATTGCTGGGCTGCACGGCCATGGTGACTCCACTAATTAAGATGTTGAGGGCGCCTGGGGGGCTCAGTTGGTTAAGCAACTGCCTTCAACTCAGGTTGTGGTCCTGGAGTCCCGAGATAGAGTCCCGTGGGCTTCCAGCTCCATGGGGAGTCCGCCTCTCCCTCTGACCTTCTCCCGTCTCATACTCTCTCTCACTCTTTCTCTCAAATAAATAAGTAAGTAAAATCTTAAAAAAAAATAAAAAAGAGGGGCGCCTGGGTGGCTCAGTGGGTTAAAGCCTCTGCTTTTCGCTCAGGTCATGATCTCAGAGTCCTGGGATGGAGCCCGCATCGGGCTCTCTGCTCAGCAGGGAGCCTGCTTCCCTTCTTCTCTCTGCCTACTTGTGATCTCTGTCTTTCAAATAAATAAATAAAATCTTAAAAAAAAAAAAAGAAAGAAAGAAAGAAAGAAAGAAAAGAAAAAAGAGGTTGAGTTCAACAGTAGGAGTGGAAATGATCCAGAAAGGGGATTCCATCTTGGAGTGAGGCCAAGGAGAAGGCGTCTTCTTCCACGGGGACTGTGTCTGCCCCTAGAACACCGGCATGGGTGGTGGCCTGGTCAGCCCCTGGCTTCATGTCTCAGGAGCCTTTCCAGGTGGCCTGGCCGAGATGAGATGCGGTTTTCTCAAGGGGCCCTGGCTTTTGGCGGAGGAAGAACCAGTAGTTGATGGAGGGATAAAATGAAGAGTTCCCGTTAGCTACATGCCTGATTTCTGCTTTGGTGGGAAAGGTGATGGGGTCTGTGTGTGTGAGGGTCCTGGGGCAGGGATGGGTGAGGTAATGACGTCCTCGGGCCACCGCTATTTAAAAACAAAACAAAACAAAACAAAAACAAAAACAAAAACACCACAAAGGTTCCGCACCCAGCTCTTTTCCGGCTCAGTCTGGGCTGGGGAGTCCTATCCAGACGCCCACTTCTCATCATCCAGGTTTTTCAGTCTCGTTCCAACGCCCCCTTCTTGTACCCTTTTGAAGGTTGGAAATCGGATCCTAGGAGCTCTGCGCAAACAACCCCGGAGAGGACGCCCGGGCCCCCGGGTCCCTCGCCCGCGGCCCGCTCTGGGCCTGCACGGCGGGAGCGCGTGGGGCGCGGACCCGGGGCCCGGGCGTCCCAGCGGCCGGGCCGAGGCGCGCCTCGCGGTTCGTGGCCTCGTGCTGCCCCCTGGTGTCCGCAGACCCAATACGCCTCCCGGGGGGCCGCGCCGGGGCACGTCGGCGGGAGCGCGCGGGGCCGGCCGCGGGGGTCGCCGCCTCCCCCGACCGCTCGCGCCTGGCCCTGGAGCGCAGCCCGCGTCCGCTGCAGTCCCTGGGGCTGCGGCTCGGCGGGCGCGCGCGGCGGGGCGGGCGTCCCCGTGCTGACCGTGACCGTCCCCCGCCCCGGGCCCAGGGTCGGCGGGGCCGCGGGAGCGAAAGGCCCGAGCGGGAGGCCAGACGCGGGTTCGACCCCGCGGCGCTCTGCCGGCGGGTTCGCGGCGGCCCCGAGGCGCCGGGAGCAGAGCCTCTCCCGGGGGGCGGGGGGGCGTCGGCTGCTCGCGGATCGGGGGCAACGCCGGCGCGCGGGTCCCGGGGCTCCGGGCTCCCGTCCAGGGTCCGGTCCTCTGTAGAGGGCCGCCGGCCAGACGCCCCGGGAGTCGTACGGCCAGAGAGCCCCACGCGTGCCCGGAGGAGGGACGGGGACGGGCGGCGGCGCGTGCAGTCCCCAGCGGGTGCCCCGGGGCGTCTGCGGCGCGCGTGCTCCCCCTGGCGGTCACGGCGGGTACTGCCCTCCTCCGGCCGGGCAGGGCGGGAGGCGCGGGTGCGGTCACTTCGTGCGCGTGGACGCGGACCGCCGGGAAAGCAGACACCTTCGTACTGAAGTGGACGCAGGTGCAGCCCATTCTGAACGTACCTGATGTGTTCCTGCCGTTAGGGCGCCCCTGACATCTGCACTCCGCATCTTGGCCCTGTCCTCAGGGTGCTCTGTCCTGCTCCCCCGGGGTCGGGGCTCACTGAGGCTCCGGGACCTTAAGCAACGTGTGCCCTGCCGTCCTCGCAAGTCGTGCAGCCGGGCTCGAGCCGGGCACAGCTGCCTCCAGGCCCCAGACCCAGCTTCCCTCCACCGGACTGTGGGAAGGCTCTCGAACCCTAGTTATGCCAGAATCCAACCGAGAAGGGCGATCTCTCTTCCTAGGGACGTCTCTCATCTCTTCCAGCTTCCGGAGTGCTCCGTCCCCGAAGGCAGTTTCCCGGGGAAAGAGCCCACCGGACAGAGCCTGGAACCCGGACGTTGAAGCCAAACTAACATTTGTACATGACACACGCACGCCTCCTCGGGACACCAGCTGGTCGTGGGGTTAGTGTGGAAGGGACAAAGAGGCCTAAGCGACAGTCCGTAGCCTCCGAGAACATACGAGACTAGTCACACGGACGGACATTTACAGAAATCCCTGAGACTGGGGAAAATATGATAAAAGCAAAAAATACTAAGGGTGGGGGTTGGAAGAGGTAGAGCTAAATGTGTCGGTGGAGGGTTTGAAGGTTTATGGAGAAGCGGCATCTGGACGGGGGAGGGTGGGGAGGAAGAAGGGACCCAGAGAGGGAAGCAAGAGAGAGCAGACAGGGTGGGGGGCGGGCAGCACATCCAGGGCTCGTGCTCTCGGCTGGAGAGTTCGACCCCACAGGGGCACTGGGAGGACGAGAGGCTGGTGTCAGAGGGGAGCCCTGGAGGCCAGGCTGACAGGGTCAACCGTGTCCAGCACTGAGAGAAGAGAGGACGCAGCGAAATGCCACACAGGCCCAAGCACTCCTAGACACGTGGAATGCTACCACGCTCCGCCGGTCTCCCCGTAACAGGGACGGGGACAGTAAGCGCCTCCCGTGATTCCTGTGGGAGGAGCAGAGGCGGTTACATGTGGGAAGCACCTGGCACACTGCAGGAACGCGCTACACGGCAGCTCTCGGACTGCGGCATTGAACCTGAGCACGGAGGCGAAGGTTATGGCCGCAGGACCACGGCCACTCTCCTGAGCCGAGAGAGCAGGGAGAGGGCAGAGCCACACCGCTGGGACACAGTGGCAGCGAGGACCCAGTCCATGTCACGAGCTACCGACTGAAGGGAGGGGCACAGCCCTGGCCTTCTCCCAGCGGTGAGGCTGCTTGGGCCCCTGAAGACTGTGGCTTCGGGGGAGAAGATGGGGTGGAACTCAGGCCAATGAGGACGACAGACTTCCCGATTCCCCTTGGCAGAAGCTGGATGGCGAAGGAAGGAGAAAAGAAGGCAGCAGTGTGAGAGCCTAAGAGGGTGACAGGACTCTCCTTTCCCGGTGTCGGAGAGATTGGAGTATGTTTGCTTGTTGGGCAAGGGAAGGCAGGAACACTGTTCCCAGAGCCGGTGCTGCTGCTATAGGGGAAGACAGCCCAGGCGCTCCTGCAGGGTCGGCGCCAACAAGCAGCGAGGAAAAACTTCCTTCCCCAGGCGGGGTTGGGAAAAAGAGGTTGATCAGGGAAGATCCTGAAGAGTCACCAGAAGGAAAGCTCTGTGCCCAAGAGCAGCACACGTGGGGCCAGAACCTAAGCAAACTGTGGAAGACTGAGAACTGTCCCCTAGGAACCCGGCCGTCACCTGTCCCCCCACCCTCCCAGTGAGCTGTGCCCCCAGCAGTCATGGCACCGACCAAATGGAAATGGGGGACGCTGGACAGAAAGATGGGGGTTGGGAGCTAGAGGCTCAGGTATCATTTACCACATTAGAAAACATAAAAATAATAATATCCAATGCTAACAAAGGTATAGGCAACCAGGGGGCCGTACACTTCTGGGACAATTTTCTAGAAGGCTAATTTGGCAATATGTATAAAGCTTTTCAAATGTCACACTCCTTGGCCTTCTTTTCAGTTCTAAGTGTTAAATACAAGGAAATAGAAGATATGTACTGATACATTCAGTGCTATGTATAATAAAGGAAACAATTTTTTAAAAAATATTTTATTTATTTGACAGAGAGAGAGATCACAAGTAGGCAGAGAGGGGGAAATGCACGCTCAACCCACTGAGCCACCCAGGTACCCCATGGAAACAATTTTTAAAAAATAATTATTTGCTTTAAGATTTTTAAAAAAGATTTTATTTATTTGAGAGAGACGGAGCACAAGCAGGGGGAGCAGGAGAAGCAGGCTCCCCGCTGAACAGGGAGCCTGATGTGGGACTCGATCCCAGGATCCAAAGATCATGACCTGAGCCAAAGGCAGATGCTTAACTGACTGAGCCACCCAGGCGCCCTGAAGAAAGAAAACAATTTTCAAGACAGTAGACTTTAATACCTGAGTAGATAATACCGGGAAGCCACTAAAAATGTAAAACAAGGGGCGCCTGGGTGGCTCAGCGGGTTAAAGCCTCTGCCTTCGGCTCGGGTCATGGTCCCAGGGTCCTGGGATCGAGCCCCACATCGGGCTCTCTGCTCAGCGGGGAGCCTGCTTCCCTTCCTCTCTCTGCCTGCCTCTCTGCCTGCCTGTGATCTCTGTCAAGTAAATAAATAAAAATCTTTAAAAAAAATGTAAAACAAATTTATTGACATGATACAGTGATACGACAGTAGTAAGTAAAAAGAAACACAGTACACAAAATACAAGTATGTTCTTATTCACACGTGCACGTGTGGGGAGACGGGGAGGGAGGGCGGTGAAAACATGTATGTGGCTTGGACAACTGCAAAATTATCGTGACCATTAGTGGGGATGAAGAATTAAGGAGGAATGACCGGTTTCATTCATAAAGGTACCGAGCCACTGGTGAAGCTGGACACACAGATGCGAGGCTCTGGAGAGACATTTCGGTCCCAGACATAGAATCAGTCACTAGCACCGAGGTGGCTTAAACCCCAGGCACAGACACCTCCCTGATAGGGGTCAAGGAGGAAGGGCAGCTGAAGACAGAGTCCCCAGCAAGCCACAGAGTGAGCCGAAGGAGCACAGCCAGCGGAGGGTGAGGGCTGGGAGATGGCCCACAGCCCCAGTCCTGTCGCATAGTCCCCGTCCTGCCCCGCGGCCCCTGTCTCCTCCCCCGACCCCCCACCTCCCGGGGCCCCAGGCTTGCAGATGAGACCTTGTCTCGGCTCATCACTGAACCGCCAGCACATCGGGAGCTGCTGGTGTGGCCGCCTTGCCTACAAACACACCGGGGCTTTCTCATCTCAAGGACTCTAAGTGGCACTCATGTCCCCAGTACCCCGTGCTCCATACCTCTTCCCTCCCTACAAAACTCCTGCAGTGCGTGATCTGTACAGAACGTGTGTCTATCATCTGTGTGACAACAGCACAACCCTCTTCCTCCGGAACTACAGCAACGTGTCTCCCAGTGCTCTCTGCTCAAACTGCCTTCCGAAGCTGCCAGCGAACTCCTTCTCTTACAATCCCGTGGCCTTCATTTGGCCAACACAGACTTTGATCGCTCTGTAAATCTGATGATTACAGGGCTGACGGCCCGCCTTTCTTAAAGACACGTTCCCATTCCGTTCAATAAACACCAATGGAACACTTCTTGGTTCTGTAATAAAATTCAAAGGACAAGATTCAGTCTCCGAGTGTGAGGAGTTGAGCCCAGTTGGAGCCCTTCCATGAATTTAGCCACAGGGACCTTTGCCCGGGTCAGAAGGGGTTCGGTGGGACGTTGGAAGCGGACTTCAAATGGCACTGAGCGGAGGAGCAGAGCCAACTTAGGACAGGAAGAGAAGCAGCAGAATGCAACCGATTCAGAAATCTGCTGGAGAAGGGAAAAGAAAGAACTTTCCAGAAAGTCCTTGGAAGGGAGAGTAGGAGAATGGAGCGGCGTTTTGGTTTTTTACCGGTTTTAAAATAATTTAAATTGGTATTCAACACTTAAAAATCATGAGGTTTCAAATAAAAATCTGGATTTCCAGCTTCATCTCAGAAACCAGAAGAGACAGCGGGCTGCTCCGGCCGGGCCCTGTGGTTTTCACTGCCTGTCACACCTATGGCAGTGCCACCCAGCGGGGCGAGGTGCCTGCTGGGCTCTCCTGGGCATCGGAATGGGACACCCAAGCTGCTCTCCTCTCCTGCTTCTCACACTTGTCCTTCTCTGTCACTCAGCGCGGCTCCTCCTTCCCAGACGGGGTGACCGGCTGTTGCTTGTCCTCAGCGCTCCCTGCAGGTTCCCCGAGAACCCGACGGACCACTGCTTCTGTGACCTGGCCTGCGAGTCGGCATTATGAAATCCCTCTACGGCGGGGTCGCAAAGGAATTTGCAGACCAGACGGTTCCATCTTCTCAGTCCACAGAACACAGTCGGATCACAGAACTCTAGAGCCCAAAAGACCTCTCCTGGGCCCCGACTCGGGCACCGCGGGGCACGGGGGCTTGGGTCAGCTGCACTTTCCGCACGTGCACGCCAGCTCAACCATGGGAGTCCCAGCACCGGGAACGCATTATGGGGGCAGCGGAGGAAGCCACGTCCCAGTGATGGAAATCCCGTGTCTTCACCTGTATGAGCCGATTTAACTAGATCTTCAGAAGGGGCTGCAGCGCGTGCTTCTCTTGAGTTCTGGTTGCGTGCACATCCTTTAACATACGAGGAGAAACACTCAGACAGCTGAAGTGACTTGTCCAAGGCGACAGGCCTAGAAACAGGGTCTCCTAACTCACACTCCAGTGCTCTTTCCCTCCGGCTCCCACTTGTCCAGAGCACTGTCCACAGGCGTTTCTGCATCGCTGCCCATCAACCCACTGTTCTTCCGGCTAGGAGGGCCCAGTGGCCGGTGGCCACTTGCGACAACACACCTCACACCTATTCCGGCAACAGCTTTCCCGCAGCGTGTCTGTCACGCAGGCCTTTCTCTGGTGACTGCTTCCGCCGCGCAGTGGGGGACCCGCCTTTCTTTGTGCGGTCTGGTCTTCCATCGCCTCTTCCATCGCCGACAAACTCAGCGTCCTTGGAGGGAGCTCGGAGGCTGGCTTTGCCCAGAGAGAAGAGTAGCTTCTCCAATAGTCCTGACCCTGGCAATGGCCAGCCTGCCACGATGCGGGTCCCCGCCTGCCTTCAGGGTCACTCTCTTCAGATCGGGACGCCCATGCGATGACAAAGTCCAGTCCCTCACCCTCTCCGCAGGTGCTTGCTGACCTGACCGCGCTTGCCTCTCTGGAGATTCAACCCCGCCGGCCCGTGCCGGCCTTCCGCACGCTCTCACCTTTCCCTTCCTGCCTGTGTCCTGCCGGCCTTGGGTAACTTTTGGGTCCTTTTCTTCATCTTGCTCGTGAGTACCTTGAAGGGCTATTGCGACAATGAACGGACACTGCACATGGAAGTGTTCTGGAAACCCAGCACAGCTAACGCTTTCTCCTTTTTCTCCAACTACGTATTTTTTTGGAGGAGCCATGATGCTACTCTCATATTTTTTAAAAAGTTTATTTACTTATTTGACAGAGACACAGCGACAGAGGGAACACGAGCAGGGGGAGTGACAGAGGGAGAAGCAGGCTTCCCGCCGAGCAGGGAGCCCGATGCAGGGCTCGATCCCAGGACCCCGAGCTGTAGGCAGACGCTCAACAACTGAGCTACCCAGGCGCCCCCCCCCCCCGCCTTTTTTAGATTTTCTTTCTTTCTTTAAGAGAGAGGGAGACTCCCCAGCGGCGTCGGCGCTGCCCACCAGCCGGGTCGCGGCTCCACCTCAGCGCCCTGACATCGTGACCTGGGCCGGTACCATGAGTCACAGGCCGGACCGACTGGGCCACCCAGGCTCCCGCCAACTCACTTAAGTCACATTCGGAGGGTCAGGAGCACGCGGCCGGCCGCGCCCCGTCCGTCCGCCCCCGCCCCTCTCCCGCCGAGAGACCCGGCCAACTCCGTCTACCCTTCCTCTGTCTCCGGCCTTCCGCTCCGTACGACCGGCGCCCTGCTGCTCGCTTTCTACAACGGTTTCTCCGCGGGTTCGCCCGGGGCGCCCTGCCGTCCCGAGACGGGCCCCGCTCGCCGGCGGACGGGCCCGTGGCCGCACCCTCTGCGCGCGTAGCCGGCCGGGCTCCTCCCCGCGGCGTCCGCTCCGGGCACCGCCGCCCAGCCGCACGGCGCAAGCGGGCTCCGCGGGGGCTCCGCGGCGGGGCAAGCGGACCCAGCCCCCAGGGCGCCCCCTCGGTGCCTGCCGCGCAGGGCGGGGGCGGTGCCGGGATCACGCATGCGCAGCCGCCGCTCCAGACCCCCCGCGAGACCCAGACCGCCGCGGCTCGCCCGCTCCGTCTTTTCCCCATCTGGGGCTCAAGCATTTGTGTACGCGTGCGTCTTGTCCGGGCTCCGATTGGCTGGTGGCCCCGTCCGTCATCGGAGTGGCCAACCGAGCGAGCTCCAAGGTTCAGTTCCCGCCCCACGGTGGGTCGCTGGGTGGAGCTTCGGGCCTTTGTCGGCCCCCGCGCTAGTGGGGACGAGCCCAAGGATGCGCGCGCCCGCCCGCGGTCGGCCGCTAACGGTTGCTTTGGTGGCCGCGTGGTGGCGGGGAGGGGAGTGGGCGCGAGGCGGGCCGAGGTAATGGCCAGCACGGGGCAGCCCGTCGGCCGTGTGTTGAGCGCCTGCCGTGCGCCGTCCCGAAACCCGCTCCGCCTTCGGGAGGCGCCTGCCCGGGTCTCTGCGGGGCACGTGGGGGCGACGGCGCGGCGACGGCGGGTGACCGCAGCTCGGCCCGTAGCGCTGTCCGCCGCGCCCCGCCGGTCCGGCCCGCACCTTCCAGCCCCTGGGCCCGAGGCGCGGCCGTGCGGGTGGGCTCGATCGTTCGGGCAGAGCAGGCGGTGCGCCCCGCCCGGCAGAGCCGCCGTGGGGCTGGCGCGGGGCCGGCGTGTCCGCTTCAGCGCCGCTCGCTGTTCCCGACGCGTTTGCGCGGTCACGAGGCGGGGAGAGTCGCCCGGCCCTTGGCTCCAGGCAGGAGTCGGAGGAACGAGAGCTCCGGCCGCTGGCCTGGCCGCCGTGGCTGCGACAGTCCCCCACCCCCGCCTCCGGCCTCCCGAGAGCCGCGTCCGTGGGGTAGGAGCCCGGGGTGCCCGTTCGGAGGGCCCGCGGCCAGCCCAGGACGCGGTCGGCTCAGGGGCTGCAGAGCAGAGAAGCAGCGCGAGGTCACCACAGTCTGGGAAAGAAAGATCCTCTGGGCTTGGAGCCCTGCGCGGTGTCCAAAACACCACCTCATTTACTGCGACCGAACCCTACTGTGTGCCCGGCCCTGAGCCACATGCAGACCTGGGTAAGACGGCGCACTTGTATGTTATATATATATATATATATATTTTTTTTTTTTAAAGAATTTTTTCTTTTTTTAAGATTTTTTAAAATTTATTTGACAGATCACAAGTAGGCAGAGAGGCAGGCAGAGAGACAGAGGAGGAAGCAGGCTCCCTGCTGAGCAGAGAGTCTGATGCGGGGCTGGATCCCAGGACCCTGGGATCACGACCTGAGCGGAAGGCAGAGGATTTAACCACTGAGCCACCCAGGCGCCCCTTATTTATATATATTTTTTAAGATTTTATTTCTTTGATAGAGATCACAAGTAGGCAGAGAGGCAGGCAGAGAGAGAGGGGGAAGCAGGCTCCCCGCTGAGCAGAGAGCCTGATGCGGGGCTCGATCCGGGGACCCTGGGGACCCTGGGGACCCTGAGACCATGACCTGAGCCGAAGGCAGAGGCTTAACCCACTGAGCCACCGAGGCACCCAAGTTTTTTTCTTTTTGTTAATTCATTTATTTGGGGTGTGGGGAGAGAGCACAAGCAGGGGGAGTGGCAGGCAGAGGGAGAGGGGGAAGCAGTCTCCCCGCTGAGCATGGAGGCTGATGTGGGACTCAATCCCAGGACCCTGGGGTCATGATCTGAGCTGAAGGCAAAGGCTTCACCGACTGAGCGCCCCAGGCACCACACCACCCAGTGCATTTTTAAAAGGCGCTTTCAGTCCAGTCGTGGAGAGAAAATAGAAAGTAGTACCTCCACTTTGGACAGGACAAGGAGGGTACTCTAGAGGTCATATTCCCGACACCAGGGGAAAAGGCAGGGAAGTCAGGAGAAGCTTTATGGAGGGAGAGTTGTAGGAGTGGGACTCTTGAATGGCAGGGCAGGTTTCAAAGGTAGCAACGAGTGTAGAGCATTGGGGCCCCCGGACCTCCTCTTCCCCGAGTAAGTTTCCAGTCTCGTGGCTTTGAGGAGCAGCCGTCATGCGAATAAGGACGAACACTTAGCAAGCACTCGCTACGGATCAGAACGGTTTCCGTTCCTCTGGAGTATCCTTCAGGTTCCTGAGAAGTGTCATTTTCCCTTATCAAAAGAAACCCAGCGCGGGGTGTCCCTAGGAAGGACCAGTTGGGCCTTTGGAACCAGATCTTCCATAGGTTCCCACTCCCCTGACCACTGTGACAAGCCCCACAGCCGTTCCTGGGGAGCAGAGTACCCGTGTCCCCCTCCCAGCCCCTGGATGCCCCCAAAGAAGGCACCACGAGTGTGCCCTTGTCGGGGGGCCCTGGCCGACTCAGTTGGAAGCATGTGCAGCTGTTAACCTCAGGGTGGGAAGTGGGAGTCCCATGTTGGGTAAAACAACTTAAAAAACAAAACAAAACACGAGCACGAGGCCAGTGAGTCGAGCGAGGCTGTGGCAAAGGCAGGAGATCATAGGTAAATCCACTGTGGTTCTGTCTGCACAGCTCCACTGCCCGTGTGCAGCTCAGGGCGGTAGACGTGGCTCTCTTCCTGCCCGGCCCCCAGCCTTCGTCATGGTCCTTGGAGTTCCCATGTCCTGAGGTCGACTTCACGGGTGACCAGCACCAGGAATGACTTCCCTCTTCAGAAAAACCTCCTTACGCCCCTGGCGATGTACACCGCGGGGCCCAGACATCTCCCACTGCCGTGATCGGCTTCTGGGTGTCCCTCTAACTCGGCCTGAAACAAAACCTCACTTCTCTGGACAGACCCGGGGCTGGAGCCCCACCGCCCACTCAGGACTCCAAGCGTGAGTTTGGGACCCACTGAGCCGCCTCCCTTTCCTTCCTCCTCTGCCTTCACCAGGCCTTTCCCAGGTCCCGTGATTCTACCTCTTTAATCTTTACTGAGGGGTGCCCGGCCGGCTCCGTCACTGCAGCTCTTGATCTCGGAGTCATGGGTTGTGGTTCGAGCCCCAGGTTGGCTGCAGCGATTACTTAAAAACAAAATCTTCAGAACTTAATAATATTTGCTAAATTCACTTGTAAAAGATCCTGACTGGGCCCAGATTCTGCATTCCTCCCAGTGGTCCTCCACATCGCTGTGGGAAGGAGGGCGCTCTGGCAAGAGCTGAAGTGCAGATCTCACCAAGTCCCTCTCACACGTACAATCCTTGGATGACCAGACATCTCCAGAATAAAGCCCCGACCCCAGGCCTGCCTCTTCTGCTTTCCCCGCCGTTCCCTTGACCCTCACCACAGTGTTGGATCTCCCGAGCACACCGCTCTCCCTCCCACCGCCCGTGCTCTTCCTGCCCGTGTTGCCCGGGAAGCCCTCATGTGTTCGAACCCAGCTCCGCACGGAAGCCTCCCCTGGTGTCCCCTCGCCGGGGTCTGGGTGGGCCTCCGGGCTGATCCCTTGGCCCACTCCTGTCCTTTGACGCGACCTTTGCTGCATGCTGCCCACTCGCGTGTCTAAGCTGGGAGCTGCCCGGGCCTGTCTGTCTCCAGGGCCTAGTCAAGGGGCTCCCACGGAGTGGGTGCCTCGTACGTGCTGGTTGCCTTTCAGACGGAAAGAGAGCAGAAGCCGGATACGGAGAATCTGTCAGGACGCGGGATGGGCTGCGGGCTGGTCTAGGGTCCAAGGGATGCGCGAAGCCTGACCCCGAGGTGGCGTTGCTTCTCTGGAGGCCCCGGAGCTCAGCCGGGGAGTTTGGACGCTGCGATGGGAGACGAGCAGAGCTGCACCCCGGTGGGGAGGGCAGCCCGGGGAGGGGGAGGCTCACGGCGGGGAGACGGACCGCCCACGGCTGGCCGCACGACCGCCAAGTGGGAGAACCAGCGGGCAGCCCGGTGCGGGACTAGGTCACGTGCAGAGATGGTGGCGCCCCCACAGGCGGCACTGCCGCAGACGGGGCTTCGCGGTTGTCCCCTGCAAGAGGGCACTGCATCGGTCGGGGAGGAAAGGCATGTCGCAGACACGAAGCTGCGTTTCTGTGGCTCGTTTGCCGCAACCAAGTCCACAGCGCAGCTCCTGGAGGCGGCGCGGTGACCTGGGCCCTCTGATGGCTCCAGCCCTCCACAGCAGGGACAGCACCAGTCTGAGCCCGGGACACGCCTGACTTGCCATCACAGCCCATCAGCCAGCCCATGACCCGGCGTGCCGACACGGAGACCGAGGAATGTGTCCGTTTGGGACAGAAGTGACGCCTACCCAGGGCACCGGGCAGCAATGCCTGCGGAGGAGGAACGGAGATGCGAGGGACGAGGTGTGGCGTCAGGTGGCCTCACGACACGGCCCGGGTGGGCGGGCGTGCCTGTTCTACCCGAGCGGGGTGCCCCCGCAGTGTCTGGGGAGGCTTGGGCCTTTGTGGGAAACTGTGGATGGGAGGCCTCTGCTGTCCCCTGGGCTTCTCCCCAGGGCTGCTACGGCGCCATGACATGGCCCCAGGCGTCCCCCAAAATGACGAGAGGGACTCAGCAGCAGAAATCTCCTGCCTTCCGCAGAGCTGGGCTTCCTCGGACACGTGCCCCCATGCATTGGCATGAGGGAGGACCCCACGAGAGCCAGGCTGGGGGACCCCGAGGCCGTCTCAAAGGGGCCAGCGCAGGCAGCCGGAGCGGGGCCGCATGTGGAGGACATGGGAAGCCCTTCTGCACCACCCCCTCTGCCACAGCGGAGGGAGCAGTGAGGTGGGATCTGCAGCGGCGCCGGGACTGGCCGACCCCCACAACCCCCGCAACCCCCATGATGCCGTGAGCACCAGCCCCATGACCCGGGTACTCCCTGCCCTTGTAGATGCGGGGGCGTCACCAGCTCCACCCGTGCACACCCTGCCGGGCCGAGCCACACCCCAGGCAGTGAGGCACCAGGTTGGGGGGCCCTCAGGGGCACCCTGAGAGAGCAGGGAGAGGTTCCCTGGCCCCATTAAAGCGTTTTAAAGGAAGAGGGAGCCCTGCCCGCCGTCACCCTGCTCCTGACCTGGCCTTGGTCACTGCTCCTCTGCCTCTCATGCCCCAGGAACCCCCCCCCCACCATGCGGCTTCCCCTGGGACAACCCTGGTCCGTGCGGGATGGCCTCTGCTTCTGCCCGAACCACTCACCTGAGACCTGGGAGCAGCCCCCACCCCCCACTGGGCTGAGCGGACCCTTGGGCCACACCAAAGAAACCAGAACCCAAGCCCAAGTATCAGAAACGTGTATTCTTTTTCTTTTAATAGTAAACCTCTTTACAACAAATATAGTGAAAGAGTTTTCAAACAAAACTCATAAGAATCCCGAGGACTTTGTCTTCTTATTGTGTAGAATACTAAGAAAGCGTCACCATACAGCACGGAAAGAAATATTGAAAACAAATCAACAGCCACACGCTTGGACGCATCCTGCCCAGGACTCAGGAGCAGCCCCAGGAGTGTGGGTGATTGTCAGGTTTGGGGGGCACGCCCATGCCTCCCCTCCCTCTCGCTTCTAGGACTTGAATGGGGAAGACAAAGAGAATCCAGATTCTCCCTAGAACATTCCAGCCCCCTGCCCCCACACAAATCCCACGCCTTCCCCCATCTCTGACGGGGTGGAGGAGAGGACTAGAGTCCCCGGGCTCAGGTTTCCTCTCCTCCACGAAAGCCTGAATTCACCCCCAGCCCACCCCAGGGGGTTCCAAAGAGTCAGTTAAAAATATATAGTTATAGATATTTCTAGATACACTTTTACATCATTTCTGTCTCTCCAAAGAAATAAATAATCATCAAGAGAAGGTGCCTTAATTCCTTCCTGTCCGAGGTGGGGAGGGCTGGGTAAAGGTCAGGGGTCAGTCTGCTGCATCGAGTGCATTGCTGGCGGGCGTTGCGGGGGTGGGTGGGGGGGTGGGGAGGGAATGGTGCGTCCCAGTGAACGGGAGGGCTCTCTTGCCCAGTCCCTGAAAGCTGTGGGAAGGCTGGGGAGGGGCGGGGCACGGGAGGACTCCAGTCACTGATTACTTTGGCAAACGCCCAGTTCTTAGGAGGAAGGAGTAGGTGGAGGCAAATTTGGCTTTGTGAGAGGAAGAAATGAAGCCCCCCTTGAGGGACCCATGCGTCTGGCCAGCCAGGAGCCCCTACCCCCAAGACAAACCTTGGGATACTGAATTGCAGAAATGTCACATGTTCATTCACAGACCTACCCTGCCCCCAGGGAGAGAGAAGACGCGCACGCACACGCACACGCACACGCACACGCACACGCACGGTAATCAGAAGCCACGTTTGCCATCACAAGGCAGAGGGCAAAATGGTGATTACTGCACCGTGAGCCACAGGGGCTCTCGTCCCGCCCCCCTGTGTCTAGTGGTGGCCGAGCCCAGCTTCCAAAGGTGGGCGGACTGCCGGCAGGACCGGCCTGAGAAGGGACCGCCTCCCTCAGGCTGTACTGCGCACCTGTCCCTCACACGTTCAGCATTTACCGCGCCAACCACGTGCCAGACGCCGGGCAAGGCTCTGGGGATGCACGCGCAGGACTATACCCTAGTGTAGTTCAAGGCCCTGCTTCAGGCGCCTCGACTCGCGAAACTCCCTCCAGGAACCCGTGGAGAAGGCCGGGACGTGCTGTGTGCCCAGTCAGCAGCTGGGGTTTCAACGCTGAGTAAGGGAGGGTCATGGCCCAGACAAAGCAGCAGCTTCCAGAAGGAAGAGGAACACGAGTGTGGCCCCGAAAGCAGGGTGGGGGCAGGGGAGGAGCAGGAAGGGCAGCTGCATGTGTGCAAAGGGCCAGGGGCCAGGTGGCCACTCGTGCTTGGAGCCCAGGAGAGCCGGGGCCCTAGGGAGAAGCAAAGGGGGCGACTGCAGGCTCCCCACAACAGTGGTCCCAACCTGTCAAAGCCGAGGGCGGACAGAGCAGGGGCAGGGGTGGTGGCAGGGACCCAGCCGGAGAGGCGTGGAGCTGGAAGCCAGGGTTGCGCAGCATGGTGGCCTCCCGTCCCTCCACAGACACCAGGCACGCGCACGTGGACATGCCCTCGGAGCTCATCTCTCACGGGTCGTGGACTGGCCCAGACGGGCTCAGAGACACACACGGGTATATCCACACCACACACACACACACACACACACACACACACACACACACACACACACACACACACACACCGGATGGCCTTGTGTACACGCTCAGGGACACGTGCGGTCACACACACCCTTGCTTCTGGTTCCTTCCCTGCGTCAAGTGTCAGAACACTGCAAACGGCTGAGTCCCAGAGGCAGGACCGCAAAGGTGGGCCCTGTCTGTCGTCTACTGTCCCCCTGGGATGACGCCCCAGGGAGCAGCGTGCAGGGGAAGGATTGGGCCACACGCCCCGCTGGCCTGCACACGCCACCTGCCCGTGTGGCCCAGGCCCCTCCAGATGGCAGGCTGGGGGCCTGCCCCCTCCAGTCTGATCTGGGCTCCAGCCTGAGGTCCTGGCAGAGGGGGCGGGCTCAGGGAACAAGAACAGCGAGGAGTCTCATCTGTACAGTACGGGCCGCTTGAGTCATTATTATTACAATATACTTTGACAAAAATAGAATCTCATTTCATATCAATACAACAACAACAAAAAAACCAGTTTCCTGGACTGTTACACGGCTAACGTTTTCCAAAGGTTGCTATTTACAATTACAGTAGCCAAGAGGGAAGGTGGGCTGCGGCCGGGGGCGGTGGGACAGGAGGTAGCCGACCAGGAGGACGCCCAGAGCAGGGAGGTGGGGTCGGGGTCGGGAGGATTTGGGAGGGGACTGGGAAGGGCCCAGGACCAAAGGAGGGAGGCGGCCTCCCACCCTCACGCCAGCCCAGTGTCCCTCCTGCGGATGGGGATGGGTCCGTGCAAGGAAGAGCGAGCCCCCAAACCCCTGCCCCAGCACGCTAAGCCCCTCACCGGAGCATCCCCCTCCCCATCCCCCCTGCACTTTCTGGCCTGTTTTCTGGGGCTGCTGTCGGCGAGGGACAGAGAGCTATTGCACTACTATCGCAGAGAAACCGTGAGGGAGGGTAGGGGGCCCGTTTCACCCCTCACCCCAGCTCTCGGCCCCTCCTCATGGCTCTCCATCTTTCTCTCCAAATGTGCTTCCAAGGGGTCCCCACCTCAAACCCTGCCCCCAGCCTCAGAATCCCAGGCACCCTTCCCAGCCCAGAAGCTCGGCCAGCACCCCCACACTTTGGGGGTGCATGCTGTATGTGGGCAGGGGTGCTGGGGGCCAGGCTGGGGTGCTCTGCCCCAGGTGCCTGTGGCCACGGGAAGAGCCCAGGCACAGAGACCCTTTCCAGAACCTATGCCTCGCCTCCCCCTGAAACACAAACCCACCAACAAGCTGACTTTGGAGTTTCAGTCTGTTGTAAGGGGTTTTGTTGTTTGGCAGGTTTTTTGGTTATTTCCCTCTGTCTGGGGGGACGGGGTGGGAGGGCTCCGCGTGCAGGGCTCAGCACCTGTCCTGTCCCAAAGGCCTATCGGGCTCCCCACCCCTCCTGCAGCATATGTGTACAACGTGCAAAGTGTCCCCCCCCTTCCCGCAAAAAATCAGCCCCCCCCAACCAGTGAAATGGCGGGGGGTGCAGAAGGAGGGGACGGGACCGTCCTCCTCTCCAAAGCGAGAATCCAAATTAAAAAAAATATAATAATAATAATAATAATATAATAATTATACACAAACGTAACCGTCAACAGGACACGGAGCACAAAAGGAAGTGGGGGTCGAGCGGGAGGAGCCCAGGGCGGGGAGGGGTGGGCGGTGAGATTGTCAGCTCTTCGTCAGGGAGGCTGAGAGGAGGGGAGAGGGAATCGTCACTTTAATGTCTGCGGAGAAAGGAGACGGAGAGCAGGGTGTCAGGGCCCCAGCCCTGGGCTAGGCGCCCCCCATTCCCCTCTCCCCGCAGGGCTGGGCTGGCTTGGAGGGGCCTGTGGCAGGGCGGGGGCGGCCCAGAGTCCTCCCAGGTGGGGCTCAGGGGCGGGGGCGGCCCCCGGGGTGCAGCAGGCCTGCGGCGGGAGGGGTGGTGCTACAGTACCCAGGTGTCCAGCCGCATCCTCTTCACAGCGGGGCCCTCCGCCTCGGGCTCCTGGGCCGGGCGCAGCAGGCCCAGGGTGGGCCCGAAGTCCCCCCGTCCGTCGTCCCGGTCCCCGGTCTCGTAGGAGCCGCTGGCGGGGCTGCTGAGGCCGTCGCCAGGCTCGGGGCGGGTGGCCGGGAACACGGCTGGAGGGGGCGGTGCGGGGCTGCGCTCCCGGCTGGGGGACACCGGCTCCGACTTGATGCTGATGTGGGGGTGGGTGGTGACTGTGAGGGCGGCCCCCACGTGGGGCAGTGGGCTGCCCGGGCTGGGCACCAGGACAGAAGCAAGGAGGTACGGGACACAGAGGGGGTGGGGGGGCGGGAGGGAGAGGGAGGAGGTGGGGCAGGGAGGGACGCACAGGAGAGCCGCCAGAGGGGAGATGGGGAAGAGGAGAAGGAGCCATGTTAGTTCTTTCTGTCCTAGGTCACCCAAGACCGCCTGGTGCTCTGGGCTGGCTTGGGAGGGGCTCCGGGGCTGCCTCTCCGTGCCCCATGTCTCGTGCCGTCCACTGGTGACAGAGCACCTCGGTGGGGGGCACCCTGCTCCCGACAGGAGCCTCCTCTTCCCAGCCCCAACCCTGCCTTCCCTGAGCCCCCCACCCACCCCGGGGCGCCCTGGGACTCACATCAGGCTGCTGAGAGACACGGGGACCAGATGGGGCTGTGGCTGGGGCTGCTGGGGCGGCTGTGGCGGCTGGGGCGGCGGCTGCGGCGGCTGCTGCTGGGGCGGCTGCGGCTGGGGCGGCTGCGCAGGCTGCGTGGGCTGCGGCCAGGCGGTGACGCTGCCTAGTGACAGCCCCCCGGGCGAGCTGAAGGTCGGGAGGGAGGAGAGCTCGGCGCTGCTCAGCTGGTAATCTGCGTGGGGTGGGGAGAGGACAGAAGGACTCAGCGGCCCCCCCAGCGCAGGGACCCCAAGAAGGGAATTCGAGAAGGGAATGTGCAGGTGCTGCTTCTCAGCAGGAGGAAGATGCGTTTTTAAAACAGGTTAACTATTCTCTTCCCTTTCACCACGGGTAGGTGTCACATTCAAGATGTCAACTGAAAGAGGGAAAGTCAGGAGGGTCTGACACACGCCCAACCATCATCGCTTCCACAGCCAGGTCTTCATGTGCCTGAGACGGGTGTCGTGCGGACCCCGGGCGCATGGCGCATGTCGCAGGGAAGCAAACTGCCATCACCCCCCACCCCCGGGGCTGCGTCCCTGCGCCGCGAGACTGTCAGCGCGCAAGGGTCCAGGGGTTCGAGCCGCCGTGTCCGCACAGCCACCGGGTGGATGGGCGTGGGCCCCAGCTGGGCCCGCAGAGCAAAGGGGCGGTGAGGGTACCCTAACCCCTGTGGCCCCGGCCGGGTTCCCCGTGAGGCGGTGCTCCTTGCTCCCGTCTCGGTCTTAAGGAAGAAGCTGACGTCTGCGCAGCTGACGCCGCACCGGGCGCTCCTACGGCAGCCTGTCTGGGCTGCTTGGCAGAGGCACCCCGAGGGGCGCAGAGCAACGGCTTTGTGGGGGCCCACAGACACACCCCACGTGGCCCCCCCACCACGCTCTTACTCAAGGGCTCCCCGGCTGTGCCCTGGTCTTTGTGCAGGGACCACGGCACCACTGCACAACAGAACAAGAAGGGCGAGCGCGAGGCCCCCAGAGGCCCCGTAACCCAGGGCAAGCGATGCACTCGGCCTTGTCCGCCTGACACGCGCAGCACGAGGCCTGACGGGCGAGGGAAGGCACGTGGGCGCGCACCACGGCGTCTGGCACACAGGACGGATCCCAAAGACCGGCCTGGGGCTGTTCCTAATTCACGAGCGAGGCAATCACAGCGTCCAGTGTGGGGGACCCTGGGTGGAGACGAGACCCCGAGCTCCTGGCTAACCCGTAAGTCTCACGCGGAGACGGTCCCTGCCTCTGGTCTCGTAACAACACTGGGGCTGAGACGCTGGTCCTTAACAAAAGCGGAGCGAGGGCAGGAGGGAGCTCCTTGGACTCATGTGACAGACAGGGATGGCCATCCTCAAAGAGCTCCTGCCTCGCCTGCCATCCCACCGCCAGGAGACGCGAGGGGCCCGGCTCCCGTCCCGCACGTCGCCACCACACTGGGGCCCCATCTATGTGGAGGCCCGGGGCCCCCTGGAGAGGAGGGACACGGCGGACAGGCCGCCTGGCAGCCCACTTGCTCCGGACCCAAAGCGACCCGCGGACCTCTGCGGCCAGCGCCAGCAAGGGTCAGGCCTGCCCCTTTCCTGGGACACCAGCGGAGCCGGCCTGCCTTCAGCCAGAACTTGAGCCGGGGCCAGGGACTAGGAACGCCGGACAGCTGAACGGCAGCGCGTTTCCGTTTGTACACGGAGGGCCACCTGGAAACACCTGCTGTGGACACGGAGGTGCGCTGAGCGGCTGCAGCAGCTTCCGGACCCGGAGCCCCAGCTTCTGGGAGGGCACGAGGGGGCCCACACCTCCCAGCAGGGCCCCGAGGGCAGGCCCCAGGTCGGAACGTGCTTTCACACCACACTGCCAAACAGTCTGAAGTCTGGCCTTGCCGGGCGCCTGTCCCAGTGTCACAGAGGCCGCTAACCTCCTGCTTCAGGAGACTCCCAAGGGCCACACATGATGGCAGGAAACCACCGCTGCGTTTCAGGGTTTCCAAGAACTGGAGCTCTGAAACAGTGGTCTGTGCTGCTCTCTGCCGCCCACGCTGCCCACCCTCGACTCTTCTAGAAGAGGAGACTGGCCCTGGGGGCACAGCCATCTGCGGCTGCCCGCAGGCCCCATACAGACACAGGCCGCAAGCACAGGGCTGAGGGGTGACCACACGACACCTGGGCAGGGACATCCACATGCGGACGCAGTTGGCGGGGTCTGGCCCCTCACCGTGGCGGGGCTCGGCCCCTCACCGTGGCGGAGCTGCTCCAGCTTCCTGTCCTGCCCCGGGGGGCTTCCCTGTGTCTGCAATGGTGCGGTTCTAGCTTTGTACCCGGGGAAGAGGCAGGATTGTGCGACCATCTGTACACTTGTCTGGAGCAGGGGCTGGGGAGGCGGGAGTTTAAGGGCCTTTTGGTCTAGTCTGATCCAGCACAAAACAGCCCCAGCACAAGCCAGTCCCAGGACTGGGACCCTGTGGAGCGCCTGAGGTCTCGGCAGGAGACAAATCCTCAGACACAAGGTGCCGAGGCGTTTCCCCATGAGCAAGTCCGGCGTGGGGTGCAGGCCAGGACGGCCCAGAGCGCCACCAACTGCTCCTTGGAGGGGACTGTGGGGGACTCAGGATGGCCTGAGCGCTGGGTGTCCTGTCCGAATTCTTCCACCCAGAGGCCCCCCCATGTCTCCGAGCAGCTCTCCACCCGCACACCCCTGCCCGACCTTTATCAGCTCCCTCACCTCCTCCTCCTCCTCCAGGGAGCCTTGCTGTGCTGGGCTATGCTGCCCAGACCATGCCCCTCCCCTCCCCTCCCCTCCTCAGCCCTGGGCCCCCTGCTCAGCCGACCTCTGGCTTGGCTCCTCCTCAGACAGGAGGCTCCCTAAGGGCAGGGACTCCTTTCTCCATCAGGTCCTATATTAAAAATGGGGAATACCTACTTATTAACTTGAATTTCAGACAAAACAATGAGTAATTTTTTAACATTTTAGCAGAAGAACGTCTTTGACACGCACTTATCCTCAAAAATTGTGTTTTATTTGAAATTCAAATTTCAGTGGACATCGGTTTCTACTTGCTGACTCTGGCAACCTTCGTCAGGTGGGGGCTCCCCTCCCCCTGGAGCATCCCCCAGCGACTCTCTCCTGCTCCCCCTCTGGTCCCAATACAGCCCCAGGAGCTCCGTGGGCGGGGAAGCCGCGGAGCGCCAGCACTCACCTGTGTTGTAGGCAGTGGGCATGGAGGAGAAGGGGAGGCCCTGGCTGAGTAAACTGGGCGTTGCCACGGAAACCACTGGCGTGGTGAGCGAGTGGGTGGACTGGGAGGCCCCGAGGCGCTGGGCATTGTTCTGCAGGAGGAAAGGGGTCGGTTGGTGGAGGGTCGCACCAGGCAGGTGGGGAGAGGGTGGGCTGCCTTCCCCCCCAGCCCTCCAGTCCAAGGCCAAGCTGGGGCCCCAGGCCCCCAATAGCCCTAGGCTCGGTCTGGAGGGGGCCGCAGACAGGCAGGACTCCTGGCGTGTTCCCAGAGAGGCCGAGACCTGGGGTGGGAGACGCGCATGGCCGGGCGGAGGAGAAGCAGACTGGGCCACCCTCCCTGCCGGAGCGCACGAGCCTCTGCACGGGATGCCGGGCCTGGCGTGGCGCGGGCCCGCATGCGCACACACGTGTGCGGGGCTGTCAGCCCCGTCTGCCGCTGAGTCACTTGTCTATTCCAGCCCCAAGCCGCGGCCGAAGCTGCCGACGTGTTGGCCGCCGAAGCCCGCTGCCTTTTCCAGCCTCCCTGGCCCCCGTCAGGGAACCAGGGAGGGAGAGGCCCCACCCTCGCGGCAGGCGAGGGCCAGTGTGGACACGGGAGGGCGTGTGCGCAGCTGCCACTGCCTGAGCACATGCAAGGCGGGCTGCCTGCGGGACCAGCAGGGCCAGGCAGAGGGGCTGTGGCAAGCTCCCTCCCCCGCACTCCCACCCCCCAGCCCCAGGTAAATCTGGCTCAGCCTGGGACCTCTGCTGCTCTGGGAACGCGCTGTCGTCGCCAGCCGGCTCCCCTGCTAAGGAGGCCCCCATCCTGGGTCCCAAGCATGCTCAGCAGGATGGAGCCAGGGGGCAAGTCCGGCGCAGTCCCCCCAAGATGGGCATCCTGGGGCCCCAGCAGACAGGCCCAATGAGGCTTGGGGCTGGCCCTTACCCCATGCACACACGCGTGCACATGCACACACGCAGAGAAGGGGAGGTGTGGTTGAACACGGCACATAAAGACAGGCACATACACACAGGTACAGACACGTGCACATCTGACCCCCGACCCCTGCCCCATTCAGCCCTGGACCCCGCCCAGCATGGAGGAAACACCGCACAGCACACCGGCCGCTGGAGGGACAGGGCGCACGCTCCCCAGGGCCGCGCGGGGCCACAGGCTGACCCAGGGCTCCAAGCCACCACACATGTCTCTGGGCCTCACTTACCAGATCTAAGTGGTCCTCAGTCTGGGAGCGGAAATGAAAGCAAGGGGCGGTTCAGTGTGCGGCCCTGGCCCTCGCCTCATACCCCGGCCCCTGTAGCCGCCCCGTCCACCTCCTCGCACAGGAGCAGGACAGCTGTGCAGCCCGGACAAGGCTCTTTGGTGTCCACACCGACTCCAGAAAATGCCACAGCCTGATGTCCACCAGTTAGGAACCCATCACAATCCAAGCCTCATCTTTCCGTTGCACTGGCAAGCCTCCCCCCTGCCCCTCCCTGGCACAGAACCTTTTCTCCCACCTCCTGTCCCTTCCTCCTGCCCTCATTGTTGGCACGTCCACGTTCCGACCTCTCGGAGGGCCCTCTGGAGAATGAGAGCTCACAAGAAGTCCAGCTTTTGTGGTCTCCCTTGGGCAGACCCACAGACTGGCTGGCCTGCATCCCTCCTGCCGGAGCTCGGCTCTTCCCCACCCCCAGCCCCTGCCCCTCAGTGCAGACCCCCACTCACCAGATGATGCATCAACCCCTTTCCTCCCTGGGAGGTGATGACCCTCAGGTCAGGCTTGCGACTGGGGGCTCCAAGCTGGGCGCCGTGGGTGGGCGGAGGTGGAGACTTGGCAGGGATGCCCTTGTTCAGAGTGCTGCCATTGGCCACGGGGAGGAGCCCGGGGGAAGCCCGGGCACTGACATAGCCATTCCCTGAGAGAAGGAAAGGGTGTCAGAGGACAGACGCGGACCCAGCCCTCTGCCCCTGTGCCAGGACTCCACGCTCAGGCTCGCAGGGGCTGCTGAGCTCTCTGATCCTCCCCGAAAACCCCCGTCCTGGGAGAAGGGGAGAAGCCCCCTCACTCCGGAATTACCGGATTATTCCCCTGGCTCTAGGCAACGTGTGCCAGAACACGGGGGCAGAAGCACCAGAGCCGGAAGCCAGGTGGCCTCGCCTCCTCACCTCCCTTCTGGTGACACAGACAGGGCAGGGCGTCCAGCACCTTCCAACCCCATGACCTGCCCCACTTCTCACGGGGGCCGGCTGCAGATGGGGAGGGCAGCCTGGGCCTTGGGCCTCCTCAAGGACCCCCCCGAGGCACCCCGACCACTCAGACTGCAGCTTTGGCCAGAGACGGGGTACACGTGACAGGACGCCCATGGCCCTGGGGGAGATGAGCCACCGGCCGGTGGTGGTGCTGTTGCTGGTCACAGGGGACCGATGACACACCCACCACAACTGGCGACCACCAGTGTCATAAGGACCTCGTGCGTTTGCGCCACCATCTACACAGGCCCCTCGTTCATCTGAGCTCACTGAACCCTCACGCTGAACCTCACGAGGCAGACAGGAGCGGGGTGAGCCTCAAGCCCAGGATGGTGAACTTGAGGCCTGGTGGGCAGAGGCACACGGACTCGTCCAGGACAACGTGGCGGGCTGGACGCCATGCCAGGCCCCCACCCGCCTTCCACATGCTGGGCCTGGGCACGGGGAAGACCCACCTTGGCCTGAAGACCGCAGGCCCTTCTCCGGCCCTCTTTGCCCTCCTCGGAGATGAAAGGATGGCCGTGTCCTCCACGCCCCGACCCCGGTGCCCAGTCACCCCCAAGGATGCACTGGATGGTGCCTGGGGTTAAACTGTAGGCTCTAAAGCCCAGAGAAGTGGGGACAACCACAGTCCTGAGTGTCACCTTGCTCTGTCCCCCGGGAGCACACTGTTCCCCTCCAAGTGTGGGGCTGCCTGCATCCCAATTTCTGGATCACTCCGGGAACGGCAGGAATGTCGGCATGACGTCAACGGTGACATTTGAAGTCATCGTCACCAGCCAGCCAGCAGCACAGGGCAGGGGAGAGGCCGTCGGCGGCCGGGGTTCTGAGCAGGAACACGTCAGCAGCGCCATACACAGGCTTCCTCCAGATCCCACCTAGATGCCCCGTTCACCAGAGAAGCCCCACATCCCTCTCCCCCAGCTGGAGACGTGGGTCTCTTCTTCCAGTCTGTCCAGGATTCCCTGAGCCTCCATCTCTGGTGACCGCCCATGCCAGTCAGGGCTGCAGACCACCCTGAGGCTCAGCTTGGGTCCTGGGACCTTCCTCTTATCTCCTCTGGGTCCCTCCAGGTCCCTGGGGCCCACGAGGCCACCGAGCAGACCACTCACCGACAGGGCTGGGGCAGGCTCCGTTAGCACTGTTGAGGTCGCCCCCCAGCATGGCCCCTGGGGACAAACAGAGCCACAGTGAGCTGGCAGGACGGCACCTTCCACAGCAGGACCCAGGACCACAGAGCCACAGGAGCCCCGGTCCCTTCCCTCAGGAGCCACCCAAGCGAGCGACGGAAGGCCGTGCTGGGCGAAGGGAATCTCCTGCTGGTAACGGAATCCCCGAGTGCCCGGCAGGCCTCCTTCCCACCTCACCTGCGCTGGCTGGCCGCTGGGGCAGGCCCGGGGACACGCTGTTCCTCTGCAGCGCTGGCTGCTGGGGGGACAGGAGCCGTGGGTCCGTGAGGGATGACGTCACCAGGGAAGGGGTGACCAGAGAGCTGCTGGGATTGCTGAACTGCAGGGAGCTCTGACTGGACACAGGCACTGTGACAGGCATGGCGAAGTTGGGGGCCGGCACAGCGGACTAGACAGAAGATGGAGAAGCGGGGTCAGGCCAGGCAACACCCCCACCCTGGACCCACTGTGCCCAGGGACAGGCGGGCCCCGGGCTCCTCGATCCTGGGCTGTGTGTGCGAGGGCCCGTGGCTCAAGCTCTCCCGCCTGGCCCTCTTGGAGGCGGTTTGCTGGAGGGAGCGCTTTGGGACAGAGCTCTGGCCCAGAGAAAGACCTGCTCGCGGTGGACGGGACCAGGGACCCCCGAAAGGCCCCCAGTGGAGGCAGGTTAGTCCTCAGCCAGGCGGGACACACGGGGAGCAGGTTAGAGGGCCTGAGGACAGACCCACACGCACCCACGCAGCTGGGGACGGCCTGCACCGAGGCTCAGGACCCATGTCAACTGTGCTCCCTCAGCGGGCAGCTCGGGCCAGCGGTGTCTGCGTAGGCCCCCCGGACACCCGGCCCCTACTTTCCTGCTGGCTACGGCCCTCACGTCATCTACACACGCCCTGCGGCCACTCCCGGCCCGCGCTCCGCCTGCACGGAGACTCAGCCAGGGCCATGGGCATCCACAGCGCGGCTGGGTGGCGCCTCGCTGGTGACCGCCAGCCCCGCGCAGCACGGGACGGGCGTCAGGGGCGGCCGGGGGCCGGCGCGAAGCCACACCATGCACCGCGGGGAGACGGCCCCATGCGACTACTCACGGCCAGTCTATAACTCTGCATCATTTTATCAAACTCCTCGTCTATCTTTTTATACTTCTCCTCCGTCTGGGGGGTCAGGGCAAACACCTCGTCCGCCTCGGGGCTCTCACACTCCCTGTGCTTCTTGTGCAGCGCCTGGGGGCCGGAAGGGGCCGACAGACACGCGGTGAGTGGGGCTCACCCCGTAGCGCCGGAAGAGCCCGTCCAGCTCCTCGCTGGCGCGCCGGTACTTGTCCTCCAGCAGGGGGCTCTGCTCCAGCGAGTCCTCCCCGTCGGGCTCGGGGCTGTCACAGCCGTTGAAGCCCTTCTTCCTCAGGGTCTGCAACCGCAGCAGCGCGTCAGCCGGCGTCCGCGGGGCGGGGTCCCCGGCGCCCTCCTACCTTCTCCCCACCCCCCTCCTCTGGGTCCCCAGCATTTCCCAGCCACCCCCCTCTCCTCCCTGTGGCACTGTGGGGACACGCGCTGGGTTGGGGCGGGGGGGAGGGGACAACTGCGTGTGGCTCAGGCCCCAGGGCCCACCTCGGGGTGGGGGGGCGGGGGCCCACAATGTACTTGGCACAGACACGTGCTTCCCAGGTGACAGGTGGGGGGGGCCCTGGGGGGATGGGCTGGGGGCTGATGCCAGGGGAAGGGGGCCAGCCCCTGTCTGACCACCCCCAGTACCCCACGGGGGAAAGGCAGCCCTTGCTCACAGGAAGAGGGGGAGAGACGCAGAGACAGAGGAAGAGGCCCAAGGAAACCGGAGTACGTGAAGCCCCTGCTGTGCGACCCCCCCACGCTGTCCTTGCCAGGGGCCCTCGCCACGTTGGGGACCACCTGGTAGGAGTGGAGCAGACCCCAGAGTTCCCTCTTCCTGCTCTAAACACCTTCACAGACGCTTGTTCTGTCGTTAGTGGATAACGAGTGTATGTCTTCCGTTCTAGTCGAGAGTAATCTGTTTTCTCTATTACAGAACTAAGGTAACTTCCTCCACATCTTGGAGTTCAAGCGGGAGGCCAAGCCTGTGGCTTCCCGGGCACCCGCCTCACTGGCAGAAGTTCTGTTCCCTGAAAGCACGCACGCCCCGTGGGAGAAGCAGGAACTGGGCTGTCTCGTTTAAGTCCCACCACACCCTTCCAAGCTCAGCCCGGGCCCTGTTTCGTGGAGGTGGGCTCCACGGCCCGAGGACACACAGCCAGGAAAGGCCACCACTGGACTCCAAGGCCCGTGTCCTCCGAAAGCCTACAATGCTGGCTTGTTTTGAAACAGAAGACTGAGCCCCAGGGACCCAAAAGGGACAGAGGCAGAGCGGGACAGCTGGAAACAGAGGAAGAAAGATAGAGACAGAGTCAGATGCAGGAAAAGACCAACGATGGACAAGGAGAGAAAAAGACAGAGAGAACCAGAGAGGAGACTGAGCAGAGGGACGTCCTGCCGGCCTCACAAGCATGAGCGGAGGCGCAGCGGGCCGGGCGGGCAGCAGCCAGCCGGGGTGTACACCAGGCCGGGCGGGCAGCCCGCCCGCCTCCTCGGTCCGGGCTCGGGAGCGTGCGCGCGCCCACGGGCCCACCTCGATGATGTCGGCGTTGGTGCGGCTCTCGTGCGGCTCGTTGTACTCGGTGTACTTGAGCAGGACCTTGTCCATGTCGGTGCTGGCGTACTGGAACAGCTTGTTGGAGTGGTTGAAGATGATGAGCGCGATCTCGCAGTCACACAGCACGCTCAGCTCGTACGCCTTCTTCATCAGCCCGAACTTACGCTTGGTGAATGTCACCTGCGGGCAGTGGGGGGGGGGCAGGGTGGCGCTCAGTAAAAGCCTGCTCCCGAGCCCCTGGCCTGGGGGCGGGGGTGGGGGTACAGACCAGCACCTTCTGGCCAGCGTAGGGCCACAGGGCAGCCCAGAGCTGCCTCATAGAAGGAAGAGAACATGGACGGACAGAGCTCCACACCCCCGTGCCAGGGGTTGTGAGTGGGTCAGGGAAGGAAAACGGGAGGGCTTCCCAGATCTTCCCCTGGTGTAGGAAGACAGGGAGAATTAATCTTGGGGAACAGGGTGTGCCTGGGCATGGCCTGAAGCTGGCGTATGGTCCCTGGGTGGGGTGGGCGGGGGGGACACCCAGGTCTCCTCTTACAGCAGCAGGTAAGCCTTGGAGTTCTAAGATACAGAGTTCCAAGAGCCACAGGGAGCTGGGGTTCCTCTCCTCCCAGTTCAGTCCTTCCCCTTCCATAATAGCCTCCAGAGGCCCCCTCCTCAAGGAAGCCCTCTTAGACTAGCAAGAGGGAGTGGAGGCAAAGGCCAGCTCCCTGCCCTTGCCCACTCTACGTGGCCCCAATACCCCCTTCTCACCTGTCGGTTCCGCTCGTCAGTGATTCGCTGGATCTGAATCTTTTTCCTCCCCATCTTCTCCGGGGATCCTCAGTGCTAGGGAGGGGAGGGGATCGCTGGGTGGCGGGTCTCGGCGCACCTCACACTGTGCTCATGAACAGCCTGGGACCAGGGCTCAGTTCATGGTCTGCAGGACAGCTTCTGCACAGCGTCCTGGGAGGGGAGGGGAGGGTCACGAGAGGACAGTCAGCCCCGGCTAGCACCAGCACGCAGGCCAGGCTCACCGCACCCCAGGAGAGGCTGGCGGCATCCACCCCATCCTCGAGATGGGGACATGGGGGTGCCCTGAGGCAGCAGCAGGCGCTCACACCCAGGGCCTAGGCCCCAGACCAGGCTCTTTCCACACCAACGCTGCTGCTCTCGGGTTCCGGATCACACACAGTTGGCTTCCAAGGGTCTGGGTCCTGGAAAACGCCCTCAGCCCTCTCCTCTGCCCAGAACCCGCCTGGAGTAAAGACAGCTGGGTCTGCCAGCTGCCCCTTGGGCCTAGAGGGGCACTGCCATTCGCGGTGCCCGGTGCAGAGAGTACCTCCTACCAGGGCCACGCACTGCTAACCCTGGTGCCAGGACAGGTGCACTCTGCGGCCCGGGGTCAAGCACACAGAACAGCCCAGAGCCTGGGGGCCCGGGGTAGGGCCGGGGCTGCAGAGCCCCCTCCCCCTCCCTTGAGGGCTGCTCTACACCCGTATCCCCATATCCTCCATGGGCCTCTGCCTCAAAGTTCTGCTTCAAGAGCCGCTTCTGCTGCTTAAAATAAACACACACACACACAACCCCGCCACAGCAGAGTCCAAGCTTTCTCCGCGCGGGGGTCCACGGTGATCCACAACTATTTTGGGCCCTGTGGGCCATTTGGGTCTGCACAACACATAAACACAGACGGGCCACGGAGCTGAGGGACAACAACAGGCACGGGGGCAGCTGCGGCCCCGAGGGCACAGCCTGCAGACGCCCACTCTGGGGGACCACGCCGTGTCTAGGACCCGAGCCCAGTCTGGGCTCCAGCCCTTCCCAGCCTCGCCCCCCCGAAGCACGGATCAAGGACGGAGCCGCTGGTGTGCACCGAGGCTGTTGGCCTCCAGGAACATGCAGACGCCCCCTCCATCTTCCGCAGCCGGGCGACTCCAGGGCGGACCAGTGTGTGCCGAGGGAAGCCCAGGCTGACCCAGGAAGTGCCCGCGCTCAGGTGTGGGCGGTGCCCAAACAGGCTGGGTGAGCCCTCAGGGACTGGATGGACCTGGGGTGGGATGGAGGCGAGCGATGAGCCCATGGCCCCTTGGGCTCTGTGAATGGGGAGAATCAGAGGTGGAGCCTTCTGGGAGAAGGGCCGGGGTGGGTAGCGAGCAGGAGGTCTACGCTTTCCAAAGCCACTCTGGGTCTGAGGAAGAGCCTTGGCCGTGGAGGTCCAGCCTGACCCCCAACCACAGAGCTCCAGGCAGACACCCTACAGCACAGTCCAGCAGGTGGGCTCTCACTGCCCCCAACCTGAGCAGAGAAGACAGGCACACCTGTCGTTTGGGACCCCCTCCCAAGCCCCCACTCCCAGGGGCTGCGGAGTCTACCCTGAGCCTTTCCAGCCCCACCCAACCATGGCCCCCAAGGTCCCACAGTAGATGGCGGAGCTCAGCCTTGGCAGCTCGGCCAAGGAGGGCAAGGGAGAGGGAGGGGAGGCAGGGAATCTGGACTTGGGAGGAGCCAGGAACACCCCTTCCCATCAGTTCCTGTCCCTAGGACGGGCCCTCAGGCTCTCCCTAGCCCAGCTGGAAAGAGAGTTTCTGCTCTGTCTGGAGACCTCAGGAAACAACCCCGTGGCGCTCCCGCACAACCAGAGGGATCCTCCACCCCCCTCTCCCCGACAGGGGTCCCAAACCTCTTCCTCTCTCCCTTGTTCTCTGGGTACTCCTTGGGTCCTGGGTCCCCTACTGTCCCGCGGGACAACACCCACCCAGCCCCCGCAGCCCTGAGTGGCCCAGCAGCCGCCCCACTCCTTGCCTATGGCCCCATCTCTGCCAAAGACCACGTGGAAGGCCCCAGCCCAAGGATTTCAGCCCCCATCAGTCCGCTTCCCAGTGCGACCCCAGAGTTGTGTTTCTCAGAGCCGCAGGACTCTGGGCTCCTGGGGAGGGCGGAGAGGGGGCACGGAGAATAAGGGGCCACGATGACGGCTTTTTCTTGGAAAGCAAGGCCTGGCCTCGTGTCAAGGGTTTCACGGCCACCCTCCCATGCTCAGAGCATCTACCTTCCCTCCGCCACCCAGTCTCCCAGCTCCCTCTCGCCGCCTTTTGTGCAGAAGCAAATTCTTGCTGGGATGTGGCCTCTTATCAGCTTCGGGCCAGTTCTCTCTCTTCCTCCAAGTGGGGAGAGAGCCTCTCTGTGCTCGGGTGAGCCCTGCAAAGTCATTCCTGCAGTCTGACCTTGTTCCCTTGGTTCTCAGGGTCCCTGCCCTTCTAGCACTTACCACCATCGCACACTGGCTACATCCCCGCGCTTCCATTCCATGCCCAGCTCCCCGGGAGCTCGAGCTAGAGCAGGAGCCACGTCCGCCCTTTTCACCACTCTACCCCCCCCATAAGGAGGAGCTCAGGAAGGCTCTGCTCAAACGAGGACCGTCTCCCTCGCGACCCTGTGAGAAGGCCTTCTTGCGGTCTAACTCCGGTCAGTCCCGCTGCAGGACCTGCAGCCTCTCACTGTGCCCCTGAACTTGTACGTTTGGACACCACCGGCCCTCCTAGTGTGCCCGCCTCTCCAGGCCGGGCCTCAGCCCTCCCCATCCTTGGGCTGCCTGGTGCAGAGGGTGAGACTCTGAAGTCTGCGGAGCGGCCCCGAGCACATGGAGATGGAGAGGATGGGGTTGCTTAGGCAACTGTCGCCTGGCAACCAGCTCCCTGGCTGATCTCCTACACCACCCCCCCACCCCCGCTTCATGCTGGGGGAGCTGGGATGCAAGAGGGATCAGGCTGAGGAGACAGGGAAGCCACAGAGGACCCCCGCCCCAAGCATCCTCTGACCAGAGCGGAGTCAGGGACAAAAAGACCAGGCCCAGTCCATCCCCTCTCTGCCAGGGGAGCCCCTGACTCCACACCTCCTGGGCCCCCCGCCCACTGTTGCTCCTGTCCCTGTGCCTGCAATGCCAGAGGACGAGGTGCCCCTGCCCTGGGCAGTCCTTCCTCCCATCTGACCAAGAGCCCCCCACGGAGCGGGCTGAGTCTGTGATAACCTCCTCCCCTTCCACCCATGCTGCCTGCTCCACATGGCCCAGAGTCTGAGCCCCCCCGGGGCCAGAACACGAATTCACCGGTGACTTTGGAGGGAGGGTGGCTGCGACCTGGGTGGGCACCGAGGACCCTACACTGACCCCATCAGGGTGAAGGAGGCCCATCCTGTCCCGCTTCCCTCCCACTCAATTAGGAAGATCCTAATGAACACCTGGGCCTCCCTAATTAGCCCCCTGCCTGATGACCTAACCCACTGCCAGGAGCCAGAGGCCCGAACATCTGTTCTTCTGATGGCACCTCTGCTCCCCGGCCTGGCCTGCCCCCACTCTGCCTCTTCTTCCCGGCCCTCTTCTCCTCCTCTAGGAAGCCCTCCCAGACCTGACTTTTGGCTGTCTCTCCTGGAGCCCAGGGCTGGAGGGGGCTTAGCCAGCTGCTGTGGACACAGGGGCGTTGGCTGGGTTGGCTGTCCGGCTCTGCTGGCCCCAGGGCCCGCCTGACCTTAGGACCCAACTACGGCTCCTTGGGCTGGCGGCATCTGTGTCACCCCTGGAAGGCTCTGGCAGTTTCTGCTTCTCCCACTCAAAGCAGTGCCGGCAGGACAGAGCTGGGCAGGCTGGGCCTCCTGGGGGCATGGAGTGGGGACAGAGAGAGCACAGGGGGAGGGGATGGCAGCTGGGCCAGGCCCAGGAGGCAGGCACAGACGCACCTTCTTTAGGGAAGGGTGGCGGCAGGGCAGCCCAGCAAAGGGAACAGAGGACGCGGGGCTGGGGAGGCGTACCTGACACCACCTGACAGAGACCCCAGAGGGCCGCCTGTCCAAGCTGGGATCCAGGCCCAATAGAAGTGGGTTCTATTTACATGCAAATGAGGTGCAAACAATATGCAAAGCGTACCCTAAAGGGGGTCTCAGGCTGGAGGGGCCACGGGAGAAAAAGCAGGCCCGGCCTCCCCCAGTTTAACACCTCTTGGTACCTGAGCAATATTCAAACCATTGTCAGGTTTCAGAATGATGCTATCTCAGTTCCTGTGTGAGGGTGGCCTGGGGCCAGTGGGGAGAGTGCAGGGGGCGGCCAGGGCAGCCTCCCGGACCTGCAGCAGCTGTGGCCCAGATGCCCTTCCTGGGGGCCTCCGGACACGCCTTCCAGCTCCTCTCTCCTCCCTCCCCATGCCCCCGCCCCCAGGCCTGCTGCCCCGGGGCCCAGCAGCCCCCAGGAACCCGAGGGCGCCAGCGGGGCAGGTCAAACGCAGCAGGGGCCCAGAGAGGCTGAGCGAGCAGGCGGTCACAGAGCACGGGGCTTGCACCCCTCTCCGCTCATCAGGCAGGCCCTCTGTCCCTTCCTCTCGGGCGGTCCTGGCTGCAGGAGGGACTGGAGGGGAAGGCAGGAGGCGCTGGGGACAGCTGTCATCCCTCCTCCTGCCCCTTCCTCGTGGCTGGGCCGCAGGGCATGAAGTAGGCAGCAGGCGCCGGGGGAGGGGACGGGGAGGGGACAATCCAATCCACCTGTCACCCCCACAGTCAGACGGCCTCAAGCAGCCTGCTCACCAACGAGGGAGGAGGCGTGGCGAGGCAGACACGGAGGAGGGTGGTAGAGGGGGACAGACACCCAGACGGAGGAGAAAGAGAGGCCGAGAGGCCGAGAGGGGGGCCGAGGGTGGGGTGAGGCAGAGACAGACAAGGAGAGGCGGGGGGGGCAAGGCTCAGAGGCAGCTCAGCTGCGCCCCAAAGCTGGGCTGGGCGCGGGGGCACAACCGGACAGGATGCCAGGCCTCTGCCATCTGAGTCCTGCAGCCCGGCCAAGAGACGGAGCGGGGAGGGCAGGCCCCACGAAGGGCGAGGGCATCCGGGCTCCTGAGGGCAGGCAGGCCCCCACGGGGGGCAGAGGGGAGCCCAGGAGCCCCCTCAGTCCTGAGCCATCCCAGGGCTCCCAGCCCTCCTGG